TTTTTGCCAGTCCTGGGGCTTGAACTCGGGGCCTGAGCACTGTCCCTGATCTCCTTTTGCTCAAGGCTGGCACTCTACCATTTGAGCCACAGGGCCACTTCTGGCTTTTTCTGTTTATGTGGTACTGAGGAATCGAACCCAGGGCTTCATGCATGCTAGGCAAGCACTCTACCACTACGCCACATTCCTAGCCCACAGAACTATTTCTTGTGATTCGCCTTTGCTCTGCTCATTCCTACATAAATACAGCTGTATATTGTACCCTTCTCAATATATCCAAAGGGCTTTGACATTTTTGTTGAGTATCTGATTGATACAATAATATTACTGGAAATGGGCCTTAAAATGCACATTTAGGGGCCACATATACACAGTGAATGCTATGATATCCCTGCCACAGTCTTCTATCCACAATCTCCTGTAGGCTCCCAAGATGTTGAGAGCAAGAATTTGATCATCTAAGCAAGAGCCATTGATGGGGCTGGGAAGGTGGCTCAGTGGTAGAGCACTTGCCTTGCATGCCTGAGGTCCTGGGTTCGATTCCTCAGCACCACATAAGAAAAAAGCTGGCAGTGGTGCTGTGGCTCAAGTGGTAGAGCGCTAGCCTTGAGCTGAAGAGCTGAGGGACAGCGCCCAGGCCCAGAGTTCAGGCCTCACGACCGTACCCAAAAAAAAAAAATAGCCATTGAAGTTGGGTGCTGGTAATTCACACCTGTAATCCTAGTTTCTCAGGAGGTCTTCAAACTGATTGCAGTTTGAAGCCAGCTCAGGCAGAAAAGTCCCTGTGAGACTCTTCCAATAAACTTGAGTCAAGCTCTGGTAAAAGAGGAGTGGGGCAGGGGGGGGGGGGGGGGGAGGACCCAAAGATATGATATTGAAGAAGCCTATCAGTGAAGCTTATTTCTAAGCCCCACTCAGCCACTGGTCAGCTTTTTAGTTCAATCATAAACATGAGAAGATCAAGAATTCTTGGAGCCCTGAAGAAAAGTATCTTAAAAGATAGCTCAGTGGTAAAGCATGTGCATGACATAAGCAGCCTTTGGTTTAATCCCTATACAAAAAAAAAGGATGTGGCCCTGTAGCTCAAGCGGTAGAGCACTCTCCTTGAGCTGAAGAGCTGAGGGACAGCACTCAGGCCCAGAGTTCAAGCCCCACGACTGACAAAGAAAAAAAAAAGACTCCCTCCCATCAACCCCCCCAAAAAAGGCCAGAGGAGGGGATCTTGGTTTAAAGCCAGCCCAGACAGGAAAGTCTCTGAGACTCTTTATCTCCAGTAAACTACTCTGAAAAAGCCCAAAGTACTGCTGTGGCTCAAGTGCTACAGCGCTAGCCTTGAGCACATAGAAACTCAGGGACATTGTCCAGGCCCTGAGTTCAAGTCCCAGAACTAGAAAAAAAAAAATGAAAACAAAACAATTTAGAGAAAAAAAAGTAACTTGTAGGATATATGGATATTTGCATAGGATACTTTAAAGTATTATCACTGTTAGCTGCTGGTGACTTATGCCTAGTTTCTCTGGAAGCTGAAATCTGAGGATAGCAATTAGAAACCAGCCCAGGCAGCAAAGTCCATGAGACTCTTACCTCCAATTAACCACCAAAAAGCTGGGAGTGAAGCCGTGGCTCAAAAGTGTTAGCCTTAATTCAAAAAGCTCAAAGATAGCACCCAGACCCTAGACTGGCACACACACACACACACACACAAAATACTACCATTAATATGACTGGACATTGAAAAAGATGTTTCAATCTCAATGACAGCTGATCATTGATAGGGGGCGGGAAGGCAATAGTGAAGGTTATTCTGAGGAAAACCTAAGATTTGCACATCATGAAATACCATAGTGAAACCCATTGATGTCATTGATACATACTTGAAATGACAGGAAAATAAACAGGCTTGGATGTGGGCACCAACAGAAGCATAGAGGGTTAAGAAACAGGCTGAAGGAGAATGGGTATGGTCTATGTAGTTAATCTCCATGTATGAAAATATAACCATGGATGTAGATGTGTAGCAACCAACTTATAGGCATGACAAAAAAAACTACTCACTAAATACGGCAGAAGACAGAAGAACCCTATCTCCTGAACAGCACTGTGAAAGTACCATACCAACTCTAGACTTCCTACCTCTGGATTTCTTGACCAAAAGTATTTGATAAATTCATCAAATTTCTAGTACAAGCAGAAGGCCCTGTTTTGTTTGTGTATTTTTAAGCAATACTGGAATTCAACTCTGGACCTTGAGCTTGCTAGGTAAGTACTCTAGCAGTTGAACTTTGCTCCTGTCCTCTAAAAAACAATTGTGGGGAATGCTGACTAGGGTTTGAACTCAGGGCCTCATGTTCAGTGTGTTTGCTTAGCTGATGCTATTCTACCTAAGTCATATCTCCAACCTTGCCTTTTGCTGGTTATTTTGGAGATAGGGTCTCCAGACTTTTCTACCTGTGCTGGCTTTACACTTTGATCCCTCGGAGTAGTTAGAATTATAGACATGAACTACAGATGTCCAGCTTTTTTTAAGTTTTTCACATAGAACCTTACTCTGGTCTCAATGGAGATCCTACGGCCATTACCTCCAGAAACACAGGTGTGAGCCACCAAGACTGGCTTTGAGCACTTACATTTTAAATTGGGTGTGCGCGCGCACACACGTATGCTCTCTGGTTCTGGGATTTGAACTGGCTGGTGATCTACCACTTCCAGCTTTTTGGTGGTTAATTGGAGATAAGAGTTCAAGGACTACCCTGCCTGGGCTGGCTTCAAACCCTGATCCTCAGGTCTCAGCCTCCAAAGTAAGTAGGATTATAGGCAGCCACCAGTGCTCGGTTGAGCACTTACATCTTGTACAAAAGTGGGGCTGGGAAGGTAGCTCGGTAGTAGAGCACTTGCCTTGCAATGCCCAAGACCCTAGGTTCCATTCTCCAGCACCACATAAGCAGAAAAAGCCAGAAGTGGAGCTGTGGCTGAAGTGGTAGAGGGCTAGCCTTGAGCTGAAGAGCTGAGGAACAGCACCCAGGCCCAGAGTTCAGGCCCTATAACTGACATAAATACATACATACATACATACATACATACAAGAAGGGGGACTGGGAATGTGGCTTAGTGGTAGAGTACTTGCCTAGCATGCAGGAAGCTCAGGGTTTGATTTCTCAGTACCACATAAATAGAAAAAGCCAGAAGTGGGGGTGTGCTTAAGTGGTAGAGTGCTAGCCTTGAGCACAGAGTGGCTCATGGACTGAGCCCAAGCCCTGAGTTCAAGTTCCACGACTGGCAAACACCCCGTCCCCCACCTCCGAAAAGAGGTTAACAACATTTTTACCACTACATGTAGAGTTATATGTATTAAAAACACAAAATTTTTTCACTAAGTTATAAGACCAATTGCATATATTCAAAGTGTCTGTTTAAGAGTTTATTCAAGGGTTGTGGGAAGTTATTTATTTGGTATAAGAAAACAAATATATTTGAATAGTCTCAGCCTGATGAAAGAAATTAGGTAAATCTCATCCCAGTTTCTGATTTTTATGAAATTAACAGCATGACTGTTTTTAGTCATGATTACTTTATATGAATTCCTATTTGTTCTGATTTAATCCGGATCAATGCATCTGATCAAGGCATTAAGAGTAACAAGTAACAAAAACGGTATCATTTCTCATTAACCTTTTATTTTTAACTTAGTTTTACAATAAGGAAACAGAAAAGAAGTTGATCATTAAAAAAATACCATAGCTGTCAATTTAAGATTCAAAATGAGGTTCTTGTTAAACAAAACATTAATACTATACCCTATAATTACATCGTTTATATACAAGAACTGTGTGCAAAGTGCTTTTCAAACTATAAAATAAAACTTTGGAATAAGATGAAAGTTATCCCTAGGAGTTAGTTAACCTTGACTTTTTGTAATGAATCATAACTGCTTTCAGTTTTGTTTTGTTTTTTTTTTGGTCAGTCGTGGGGCTTGAACTCTGACTCTGGGCTTGGGCGCTGTCCCTCAGCTCTTCAGCTCAAGGTGAGCACTCTACCACTTGAGCCACAGCGCCACTTCCAGTTTTCTAGTGGTTTATTGGAGATAAGAGTCTCATGGCCTTTCCTGCCTGGGCTAGCTTTGAACTGCGATCCTCAGATGTCAGCCTCCTGAGTAGCTAGGATTATAGGTGTGAGCCACCAGCGCCTGGTCTGCTTTCAGTCTTAATTTGCATTTTATTCATTTATAGACTAAGAAAAAGCCACCATTTTCTGATCCCAAGTTGATATCTAATTTTTAAAAAGTCCTGATCCACAGATCCAAACTTTATTTTTACACATAATTCAGTTTCTTGCTTCATTTTTTTTCTAAATAAGTAGAGGATAGTTGGTATTTGTGAGGGTTTTTTGTTGTTGTTTTGTTTTATCAGTCATGGGGCTTGAACTCTGGGCCTGGGTGCTGTCCCTGAGCTCTTCAGCTCAAAGCTAGCACTCTACCACTTGAGCCACAGCACCACTTCCGGTTTTCTAGTGGTTAATTGGAGAGGAGTCTCACGGTCTTTCCTGGCCAGCCTGGCTTTGATCCTCAGATCCTCAGATCTCAGTCTCCTTAGTAGCTAGGTTACAGGCATGAGCCACCGGTGCCCAGCAGTTGTTATTTTTTAAGCAAAGATTAGTAGATCCTTTTAGACAGACATATTTTAATCAAGGTGGGATTTAAATTTTTCTTTAAATCACCAAGTTACCATGAAAGAAAAAGAATTTAGGTAAAGAAAATTGTATTTTTGGGCTGGGAAGGTAGCTCAGTGGTAGAGTGCTTGCCTTGCATGCATGAGGCCCTGGGTTCGATTCCTCAGCACCACATAAATAGAAAAAAAAAGCCAGAAGTGGTGCTATGGCTCAAGTGGTAGAGCGTTAGCCCTTGAGCTGAAGAGCTGAGGGATAGCACCCAGGCCCAGAGTTCAGGCCCCACGACCGACAAAAAAAAAAAAAAAAGAAAGAAAGAAAATTGTATTTTTATACTCTTTCTTCAAAGCTCTACCCTGTATACAAAAAATGGATTCTTTCTCTTTTAATACTCTGAACACAATGCTAACAACATCATATATACTGAGAATGCTCAAACCATTTGCTAGAAAAACTTTAAATCAAAGAAATCAGTAAAGTACAAAGAAGTGCTAAGTAAGCAGGGAATTTGGGAAAGTATAGAAGAAAGATGATTTTCCAAATATAGTCTTCAAGGATCTTCCTTTTGGTCTAAAGATGAAAGGTGGGATAAAGAGACTTAAATATCCAGTAGTTAGACATGCCTTACATATATGGAAGCATATAGTCTCTTCTCTTGCCAATCTTTCCAATACTCTTATGAAGTAGGTACAGACACATATTATACCCCGAAGGAAAAACTGAGGCACTAAGAGGTTAAGAGTCCAGTCTGTGTGGTTTCACCAGATGCAGAAAGGTGATTTTCATGTTTCCTTTATAACCTTTGTAAAAACAGTATAAATAAGTTTTCATTTTATATTTCAAAGCACCCTATGAAGCAGAAACTAGATATCCTCACTTAAAAGAAAAATGATTACAAAGGAAGAAATGTGTATGATTAAATTAAAATCTGATTAATCATCTGCAGGCCCAGAATATACTTCTAAACCCACACTAGAATTTAAAAAACTTTTTTTCATTCTCCATCATTTCCATCAGCAGATTATATATGTTTGGTGAATTATTTGCAAAAATTAAGTCTAGTACAAAGGACTCTGATTTTTAGTTATGATGTCTGAACATTAGCTCTGAGTTTTGAGTGTCTAAGAAGATTACACACAGCTCAGAAAGGAGCCTAGCGAAGTTTTGTCTTCTGGCAGTTTCCTACTACTTGGCATGGCCATTCGGTCACTAATATAAATCAATCTAACCTTATTTGAAATTAACCGCTTGGTTTGCATTCTTTCTCATATTTAGTTCAGAAAATTAAAAATATTGACTGATATATCTGATCTCATAATCACAATTATACGTTGGGAAAGCAGCTTACATTTCTCTATGGGACATAGGTAAACATTATCAATAATAATTTAATGTCTTTCAAGTTCAAGAATAGGGTAAATCTTTTATGCTACTTATAACCTAGTTGAGACTGATTATTCAAGTATCAGCAATATGAGTCCTCAAAATGTTATCACTGTGTAGTGCAAAAAATATGTATGTATATATGTACACAAACCAAACTACTGGACAACAACAACAAAAAAAAAGAAATGTAATCATCACAAACTAAGATTTTCTTGTGAATTCCACATCCATTTCATTCTTAAGTCATCCAGGCCCAGCAGTCTTCTTGGGTAAAATTTTTTCTTCAGTTCAGTTTTCTTTAAAAAAGAAAGTAAAAACCAATCTCCTGTGAGTATAAATGTAAGATGAATATGAAGCACATCTCTACCAAAGAATGTACTGGATGCTAACAGGGTAACATTCTAATTTAAGATAAAACCACAAAATTATAAATGGTGATATAACTTAGCCCAATAGAGAGGAGAACAATCTGTGCCAATTTTATTGGTTTTATTTCTTCTTTTTTTGGGGGGGAGGGTCATGAGGCTTGAACTCTGGGCCTGGGCGCTGTCCCTCAGCTCTTCAGCTCAAGTCTAGCGCTCTACCACTTGAGCCACAGCGTCACTTCCGGCTTTATTCTTATGTGGTGCTGAGGAATCAAACCCGGGGCCTCATGCATGCAGGGCAAGTGCTCTACCAATGAGCCACCTTCCTAGCCTCCTCGTTTTTAAAAATTTATGATGCTGGGACTGAACCCAGGACATCTTGCATACTAAGTACACACTCTTGCACATGCTAAACCATTACCAAACAGTTTTGTCCTTGTGTTTTATTGGGGTTTTTTGGTTTGGTTTTGTTTTGAATATTTTGGTGCCAGGGCTTAACCTCCCGGCTGGGGTGCAATCCCTTAACTTCTTTTGCTCAAGGGTAACAGTCTATCTAGAGTGATGATTTTGATAATAACAGAATGAAAGAGCTATCAGAAAAAAGATAACCTTGTTAGCAAAGAAAACAACAATCTCTGTGAAGGTCCAACTACTGTAAAAATCTCCATACTCTCCCTAGCACCCAAGATGCCAAAAAGCCTGAAACTCTCGATTACAAACTCATGCCTCTCTGTAGAAATACTCTTATGCAACTCCCTTGGTGGCAGGAGTGTGGCACAAAGAATATATATACCACTTGGGCATGGTATAATCAGATCATTATAATTAATCAGATCATTTTTCACCTCACAAAAGGCGATCCCTGCAGCAGGAAGAAAATAGGCCTGGGAGGAAGAGACTTGAAATGGTTGATACAGGCAAGACAGATGTGGGTGGTTTTATAGGCACTCTGTGAGAGCAGTTCTAGATATACTGGCTGTGGGGTGCCTGACCATTGTGTAACACCTATTAAAAACACATGTGATGCAGATTGCTACACAGAGTCACTTGCAGATTTACAACAGGGCACACAATTTGGTTTCAGAGTCCCTAGCCTTCTAATAGAATAGAATAAACATAAATCATTACCTTCAAAACCTCAGAACTGGGGCTGGGAATGTGGCTCAGTGGTTGAGTGCTTACCTAGCAAGCATGAAGCCCCGAGTTCAATTCCACAATATCACATAAACAGAAAAAGCTGAAAATGGTGCTGTGGCTCAAGTGGTAGAGTGCTAGCCTTAGGGACAGTGCCCAGGCACCGAGTTTAAGCCCTAGGGCTTACAAAAACAAAAAACAAAAACAAAAAACATGAGAACTTTTTTCAAGCTTCAGTTTCTTAAGACCAGTGTGTGTGTGTGTGTACAAAAAAAAAACAAAAAACGTGAGAACTTTTTTCAAGCTTCAGGTTCTTAAGACCAGTGTGTGTGTGTGTATGTACAAAAGAAAACAAAAAACATGAGAACTTTTTTCAAGCTTCAGGTTCTTAAGACCAGTGTGTGTGTGTGTGTGTGTGTGTGTGTGTGTAGAAGAAAAAAAAAAAAACGTGAGAACTTTTTTCAAGCTTCAGGTTCTTAAGACCTGTGTGTGTGTGTGTGTGTGTGTGTGTGTGTGTGTGTGTGTGTGTGTGTGTGTGTGTGTGTGTGTGTGTGTGTGTGTGTGTGTGTGTGTGTGTGTGTGTGTGTGTGTGTGTGTGTGTGTGTGTGTGTGTGTGTGTGTGTGTGTGTGTGTAGAAGAAGAAAAAAAAAACTCCAGGCCTAAAAGGGATCTGAGGGTTAATACTTAACACTGAAGTAAACAAAACCCTAACCCTAAATACTGATTTTAAACTGCTTTCTTTTTTTAAAAATAATTGTTATTGATATTAAGTGATTACATAAATTTCACAAATTTCACAGTATTATGAGATAGTGATACTTAGTTAAAGTCATAAACTGCTTTCTTTTGAAGGCAGGATTTTATTATGCACCCATGGCTGGCTTGAACTCCCAAGTGATAGGACAAAAGGCAACTCTTAAAACTACGATTTGAAGGAAAAGTTTCTAATCACTTTTCTTTCTCATTCTCTTCAGATTCATAAATTTGCTATAATGTAATTTCATTAGAGACACTGAGACTTTAGTCAAGAGGTAATAAAGAAAAACTGAGAGGGGAGGGGCTGGGGCTGGGAATGTGCTTAGTGGTAGAGTGCTTGCCTTCTATGAATGAAGCCCTGGGTTCCATTCCTCAGTATTACATAAACAGAAAAAGCTAGAAGTGGTGCTGTGGCTCAAGTGATAGAGTGCTAGCCTTGAGCAAAAGAAGCTCAGGGAGAGTGCCCAGGCCCTGAACTCAAGCCTCAGGACTGGTTTAAAAAATTAATAATAATAATAAAATTAATAAGTAAAAAATAAAGAATAAATAAAAACTGGTTGGGCATGGGAAGGATATCAGGAGGAATGTTCTTTAAACTGGGAAAATAGTTGGGGAAGGGCAGGTGGTAGGTACTAACAAAAAGTCAAACCCATAGGGAGGGAAAAGAGGCTTCATGTGCAGCCAGTATGGAGGGTGTTGCTGGGTAGGGACAAAGACTGAATTAATTCCTATCTTTTCTGTTATTCCCTATGACTTTCCCCCCTCAATATCCACACTATATTCTCCATTTTACAAGTCAAACACACACATACACACACACACAGAGACAAAAACAATACTGAATATGTGAATAGTGTTATTCACAGAGACATCTGAATAATTGAAAGAGCTCTTAGGTGAAATAATAAACAACCTTTTACTATACTTATGCCAGCAACAAACAATAGCAACTTGTATGTGTGTGTGTGTGTGTGTGTGTGTGTGTGTGTGTGTGTGTGTGTGTGTGTGAACTATGAATTGAACTCCAGGCTTCAGCCTTGTCTCTTGCATTTTTGGTTAGGGTTGGTGCTCTACCACTTCCAGCTTTTTGATGGTTAATAGTAGTTAACAGTCTCACAGATTTATCTGCCCAGGTTGGTTTTGAACCATGATCATCAGATCTCAGCCTCCAGAGTAGCTAGGATTATAGGCATGAACCACCAGCACTTGGCTCTATTAAAGTTTTTTTTTTTTTCCAAGTGGGGAGAGTCCACTCAGATGGAGTCTGAGAAAACATACCAGAAACTTAATTGGGTCACTCAAACATAAAGCAATAATAGTAAACAAGGAGTCGGGCGCTGGTGGTTCACACCTGTAATACTAGCTAGGATCATGGTTCGAAGCCAACCTGGGCAGAAAAGTCCCCATGAGACTCATCTCTACTCAAAAACTAGAAGTAGAACTGTGGCTCAAAGTGGTAGCCTTGAGCAAAAGAGCTGAGGGACAAAACGCAGGCCCTGAATTCAAGCCCCACAGCAAAAAAAGAAAGGAAGGAAGGAAGGAAGGAAGAAGGAAGGAAGGAAGGAGGAAGAAAGGAAGAGGAATAGTGAACTAAAATAGCTCACTTAAGGTGATGAGAATTTCATTGTGTCACATATTGTAACTGAAGCATTAAGAGTACTGCTTACCCCTTTTACATAATAGGATACCATCCTGTAATCCCAGAACTTGGGAGACTAAAGCAGAAATAATTAGAAACTTATAAATATTAAGACTGATTTTTTTTTTTTTTTTTTTGCCATCCTGGGGCTTGAACTCAGGGTCTGGGCACTGTCCCTGAGCTTTTGCTCAAGGCTAACACTCTACTGCTTAAGCCACAGGGCCACTTCCAGATTTTTCTGTGTATGTGGTACTGAGGTATCAGACCCAGGGCTTCATGCATGCTAGGCAAGCACTCTACCACTAAGCCACATTCCCAGCCCCTAGACTGATAAGATTTTTTTTTTTTTTTTTTGGGTCCGGTCATGGGGCCTGAACTCTGGGCCTGAGCGCTGTCCCTCAGCTCTTCAGCTCAAGGCTAGTGCTCTACCACTTGAGCCACAGCGCCACTTCCGGCTTTTTTCTTTTTGCTTATGTGGTGCTGAGGAATCGAACCCAGGGCCTCAGGCATGCAAGGCAAGCGCTCTACCACTGAGCCACCTTCCCAGCCCCGACTGATAAGATTTTTGAGAATGTGTGTCTACTGCACATTCTGTTCCATTGCTTATCCCATGTGTTGTGACTTCCGGTGTCATGGTGATGAAACACTGAACACATAACCAGTGAGGCCACTCAGGAAGTACTTGTCTATCCACCCAACCAATGGACAGTAATTCAGTTTATACGGCTTTCAGCTGACAATACTTTTTAGATTCGTGGCCTCGAGTTTATTTCTAACTAGATAAACTCAAGGCTCTTTTAGAGATTTTATTTAAGTTACTCCTGTCAAACCAAACTGGCATTTTGGCCTCATAGTAATCCCTAAATCTAGACATAGTCAAACACCAGGTAGAGAAATTTTCAACTGTTAATGTCTGTATTTCAAAGGTATATAGCAAGCAAGCAGCAGTTATTACTTGTTTTCCCCTCCCTTCTTATTTAGCATCAAAGGACCCAAAATAAACATGAGATTTTAAGAGCATTATTCCCTCAAAACTTGAAAAACTTAAGCATAATGTCTTCACCTTGTGTAAATTAAAGATGTAAAACTCAGATTCTCACAAGTGAAAAAATTTCAAGTCTAACAAGTACTCAGAAATCCAGAAGATATTTCCTAAGTTCTGTAATCTCAAAATCAATATGAATGTTTTGGTCCATGAAACAGATCTACTGCCTTAATTGCTGCTTAAATACTGTCTACTATAAATTGTAAGAGTTTATATACCATTTCAAATTATAAGACCTTATATATTACCTTCTCCGTCTTTGATAATATAAATGCACCAACCACTGGGCAATGAAAGGCCATATAATAGCAAAAGTTAATGCACCAGGAGACATCTCAAAGGGCCACCAAGATGGTCGCTGAGGGGGGAAAAAAAAGCCGTCATTAATCTACTAATTATTGCATCTACAAATTTAGAAACGTAACAGAATTTTATAAATAAAACTGTTGACAACCTTACTCCTGATAGAGAAGGGTAATTTTCATTCCAGAGCATAATTCAACACACCATAAAGAATACTCCAAACTTAGATAAACATTTCCCAAAAGGCTTTTGTAACTTTAATGCTCTACATGGCAGATTTTATTTGAAATGATTTAAATAGCTCATATAATCTAAATCTTTTGTAATGTATATAAAACCCTGACAATTTTTACAAAACAATTTCTTACCTCTGAGGAGGACTGGTTGCTAGTCTGCAATGCTGCTGATTTTGCCTGTGAATACAGATCAAAATGACTTAGCTTCGATAAAATGGAAAAAAAAATACCAAAAAACAGTAATTTTTTTTCAAATCATGAGGCTTGAACTCAGAGCCTCGGTACTGTCTTTGAGCTCTTTTCACTTAAGGCTAGCACTCTACCACTTTCAGCCACAGTGCCATTTCTGGTTTTCTGGTGATTAATTGGAGATGAGTCTCATGGACTTTTCTGCATGGACTGGCTTTGAACTATAATACTCAGCTTTTTGCCTTCTGATTAGCTAGGATTTCAGGCATGAGCCACCAGTGCCTAGCTTCATAGTAATGTTTTAAATTTCCTACCTTTTCTTAAACTAAAGGGCTAAAATACGACTATTTTTCTGCTATATTGATTGTCCTGAAACCCATACTGCCCAAAAAACAAGGTCCTTAAAACTGTAAGCTGAAAGCCAGGTGCTGGTGGCTCACGCCTGTAATCCCAGCCACTCAGGAGGCTAAGATCTGGCCAGTAAAGTCTATGAAACTCTTATTTCCAATTAACCACCAGAAAACCAGAAGTGGTGCTGTGGCTCAAATGGTAGAGCTGTTGCCTTGACTGTAGAGCTAGGGACAGAACTCAGGCCCAGAGTTCAAGCCCCATGACTGATCAAAACAAAAAATAAAAAACAAACAAACAAAAAACCTGTAAGCTGAACAAAAACTTTTCTTTATATTTTACAATTCATTGGTATATAAAGATATAAAAATAAAACCTCAAATCTAAACCCTTGCTTTCTTCTGAGTCAAAGTCTGGTTTTGAAGCCCATGCTACATTAATACCAGATGAAATAAAGAACCACTGGCTTCTTAGTTTTTGTTTCTTTGCTTATTTGTCAGTGCTGAGGATATCCCAGGGCTTTGCACATGTTCATCAGACAATCTACCAGGAAGTTATATCCTCAACTCTTTTCTGTTTGAGACAGAGTCTTGAGGTATAGATTGGTCTTCAAATTACTATAAAGCCCAGGCAGGACTTGAACTGGCAATCCCTCGTCTTCAGCCTCCCAAGTAACTAGGATTACAGATGTGTACCACTATGTAAAGGTTTATTAGTTCATCAAACTGCAGTGTTTAGCAATTATTTTCCTGAGACCAAGTATCTGATCATTTCCCACAATGTAGTACTGCTGCTTTATGCTCTGAAAACTTCTTGTTAGTTTAAGTAGTATTTAGCTTTAGGGGCAATATTTCAAAAGAAGGTCCTTTGTACTATTCATGAAAGTCTTCAAATTTTGTGATTTCTGTGAATCTCAGCAGCACAGATTACACACTCCTTTATAAGTGCCAACAAGTGAAGAGACCAATTCAGAAGCCTTACCTGCGAAGCAGTTAGAGTTTCCAGTTTATGAAGTCTCTGAAGGACGTTCTGCATATCCTCCTGCAATCTCATGAGCACAAGAGCAATCTGTTCATTGAGGCTGCCTCTTGACCCTCTGTCTGAGCCCCAGCGTTCTCCATCACCTCCACTTCCCATTTGCCGACCCTTGGATCCTTCACTCAAGTGTGGCATTCTATGTCCTATTTTAAGGCAATAAAACAAATTAGCCTTAAATGAAACTTACAAAAGTAGACATTATACTCTATTCATGGCCCTGTTATTTAAGATCTAATTGTCCAATATAGAATAGAAGCAATCATAACTTTTAGGATTCAAGAAATATATTGCCAGGCTCTGGTGGCTCATGCCTATAATTCTAGCTACTCAAGAGGCTGATATCTGAGGATCATGGTTCAAAGCCAGCCAGGGCAGGAAAGTTCATGAGACTCTTTTTTTTTTTTTGGGGTGGGGGGTCAGGTCCTGGGCCTGAACTCTGGGCCTGGGCTCTGTCCCTCAGCTCTTCAGCTCAAGGCTAGCACTCTACCACTTGAGCCACAGCGCCACTTCCGGCTTTTTTCTTTTTGCTTATGTGGTGCTGAGGAATTGAACCCAGGGCCTCATGCATGCAAGACAAGCGCTCTACCACTGAACCACCTTCCCAGCCCCAGTTCATGAGACTCTTACCTCCAATTAACTACCAAAAAGTTGGAAATGGAATTGTAGCACAAGTGGTAGCGAGGCTCAGATAGCACCCAAGCCCTGAGTTTAAGCCCCAAGGCTGATTTTAAAAAAAAAAAAAAGAAGAAAAGAGAAAAAGAAATATATAAACTATATTCATGGGGACTGGGAATGTGGCTTAGTGGTAGAGTGCTTGTCTAGCATACATGAAGCCCTGGGTTCAATTCCTAAGTACCACATAAATAGGAAAAGCTGGAAATGGTGCTGTCACTCAAGTGGTAGAGTGCTAGCCTTGAGCAAAAGCAGTTCAGGGACAGTGCCCAGGCCTCAAGTTCAAACCCCAGGACTGGAAAAATAAAAAAACCTATATTACTATATTCTTAAATTATTTACAAAAGGCCTATGTGTAACATACTATTACATGACTACATGGATATAATTTACAAATAATACACGTGTTCAGAGGACATGCTAAAAATTTTTCCCTAAAAATTTAACAAGATTCAAAGTCCTCTCAATGGCTACCTAATTTACCCCTGAAAATTCTACCATATATTGCTATACGAAAGGGTTCTAGCAAGGCTCAATCATACATATCTATACTTTCAGTGATGGGAGGCAGAGATCAGAAGGATCCTAGTTTGAAGTTGGCCTTGCTAAAAAGTTAGCAAGACCCCTTTCTCAACAAGGGAGGTATGGTGGTGTGTGCCTGTGACCACAGTGACATGACAGGTATAGGTAGGTAGAAGGATTATAGCCTGAGATGGCCTGGGAAAAAAGAAAAATCCTTTCAAAAAAAAAAAAAGTCAAAAAGATCTGGGAGAGTGGTTTAAATTGTAGAGTGCTTGCCTACTGTGAGGTCCTGAGTTCAACCCCAGTACCACACACACACACATACACACACACACACACACACACACACACACACACACACACACGATTCTAATAGGACACTATGAATTCTTGAACTCAAGGCACTATTTCATCCAGTCTGCTCTATTTTAATTTTTTTAATTTCATAAACTCAACTTACTCTTCATTACTTTGTATAGAAGATGAGAAAGCATTTCCTATGTATCCCCAAAAAGATCTTGTAGCTTTCTTCTAATTCTCTATTCTTCCACTGAGACTGGAAAATGCCATAGCAGAAAGCCAAATTCTTTACCTAGTTTCAGGATCTGACATCTTAAAGTTTTGTTTTTTCTTTCAGTCATGGGGCTTGAACTCTGGGCCTGGGCGCTGTCTCTCAGCTCTTCAGCTCAAGGCTAGTGTTCTACCACTTGAGCCACAGTGCCATTTGTGGCTTTTTCTGCTTATCTTGTGCTGAGGAATCAAACTCAGGGCCTCATGCATGCAAGGCAAGCACTCTACCACTGAGCCACCTTCCCAACCCTTAAGTTATTTTTATTAATTGAGACCATGCATACATTTTACTCTCCTGAAAAATCTCCAAAGCTGGGCTGGGAAGGTTACTCAGTGGTAGAGCACATGCCTTGCATGCCAGAGGCCCTGGGTTCAATTCCTCAGCACCATATAAGCAAAAAGAAAAAAGCCGGAAGTGGCGCTGTGGCTCAAGTGGTAGAGTGCTAGCCTTGAGCTGAAGAGCTGAGGGACAGCACCCAGGCCCAGAGTTCAGACCCCATGACCAGACCCAAAAAAAAATTAAAAAAAAAAAATCTCCAAAGCTTTTCACTTACTGCTTTATAGTATGCTGTCAACATTCACCAATCATACTCTATATTCAGAACCCCTAAAAGTTCTAACAGACAAAAGCAGTGAGTAAAACAACACAAGGATATTAAATTCCTGTGATTAAAGTTAAATGTGGCTGAGCTGGTGACACATACCTATAATCTCAGCACTTGGGAGACTGAAACAGATTGATCACTTGAGCCTATGAATTTGAGGTCAGCCTTGGCAATATAGACTCTGTCTCAAAAAAAAAAAAGAATGTCTCGAAAGGAGTGAAAAATGGAAAACATAGTCCAGCTATTAAAATGGTAAGGAAAACAATATGGCACAAACATTACAGGTTTATATATTGGACTAAATGCAAAAAAGATGTTGATAATAAATGTTGATAATAAATTAGGTTTCTTGTCTCTGTGGCATAAAAGTAACAAACAAGGAAGAGGAGGAAGAGGAAGAGGAGGAGGGGGAGGAAGAGGAGGAGGAAAAAAAAACAAACAGGCTCCAGTTTACACGTGTAATCTCAGTTCAAAGCAGCCTGGGCAGATATATCCAAGAGACTTTTATCTCCAGTTAACCGGCTAAAAACCAGAAGTGGCAGTGTGGCTCCAGTGGTAGATTGCCAGCTTTGAGTGAAAAGGCCAGGCAAAAATTCAAGATCCCTGGGCTGGGAATGTGGCTTAGTGGTAAGAGTGCTTGCCTAGCATGCATGAAGCCCTGGGTTTGATTCCTTAGTACCAATAAACAGAAAAAGCCAGAAAAGGCCTTGTGGCTCAAGTGGTACAGCACTAGCCTTGAGGTGCCCAAGCCCTGAGTTCAAGCCCCAGGACTGACAAAAAGCAAAAACAAAAAGCAAGATCCTGAGCTCAAGCACCAACATTGGTGCGTGTGCACATGCATGTGCATGCATGCACACACACATACACACACAAACATACAAGTTTAAGAATAGAATAATTTTCTCTAATATCGTAAGAGAATAAGCTACCATTTCTGAGGAGAGAATTGGCCTAAAGAAAAGTAAGCAGAGGGGCTGGGAAGGTGGCTCAGTGGTAGAGCGCTAGCCTTGAGCTGAAGAGCTGAGGGACAGTGCCCAAGCCCAGAGTTCAGGCCCCACGACCAGACCAAAAAAAAAAAAAAAACAAAAGAATGAAAAGTAAGCAGATATTATGCAGTTAACCATTGCACATCAAATATATTAGTGCCCTTCTGACCTGAATTTCTCCATTTCATTCCTTGGTTAGTTTTTGTTTGTTGTTGTTTTGTTGGGGTTTTTTGTGGGGCTTGAACTCTGGGCCTGGGTGCTGTCCCTGAGTTCTTCAGATCAAGGCGAGAGCTCTACCACTTGAGCCACAGTGCCACTTCCAGTTTTCTGGGTAACTGGAGATAAGAGTCTTACAGACTTTTCTGCCAAGGGGCTGGCTCTAAACCATGATCCTCATATCTCAGCCTCCTGAGTAGCTAGGATTATAGGCATGAGCCACCAGCACTCAGCACCATTGGTTTGTTTATAAAGAAAGGGCAAGGCCATACACACCTCTTCCTCTTCTGACAGAGAACTCCTCACTTTCACCACCTCGCTTCTCGCGGTGTGGTGTTCCACTATTATTTCTGCCATCTTCTCCTCCATGCTTTACTTCGCCTTTTCCTTCCACTGCTACCATCTGGACATTTCCCATGTTGCCATTTCCAGGAAGACCTTGAACATCTTCAGAAAAACCACAATTTTCCAAGTGCTGATTGGGATGACCAGCCAAGTAATATTGAAAGGGTCCATTATTTGATGTAAAGCTGTCAAAAGACTACAAATTTAAAATGAGGCTTTATTAAAAGTAAATATAAATTGTTTGGGGTTTTTTCCTTTTTTTTTCTTCCCCCAGTCCTGAAGATCCAACTCAGGGACCTGGGTGCTATCTCTGAACTTCTTTGTGCTCAAGGCTAGCAATCTACCACTTGAGCCACAGCACCAATTCTGGCTTTTTCTGACTAGTTTATTGGCGGTAAGAGTCTCACAGACTTTTCTGCCCCAGCTGGCTTCATACTGTGATCCTCAGATCTCAGCCTCCCGAGTAGCTAGGATTATTAGGCATGAGCCAGTGCCCAGCTAAAGTAAACATAAATTGTATAGCACCAAGTTTTCATGGTAAAATATTGTTTTTCTAAAATGGCAGTTGTGTGTTATTGTTGCAAATATTCTTTTCCTAAAAGAAAATATGAATTGACTTCCTAGATACAAAAAAAAATTGGTAGGAATGATGTTGTCTATAAGTATACAAAACAAAAAACAAAATGAGGAAAAAAGTGGAATCTAATATTTTTATCATTTATTGCTTTCAGTTTTCACTAATTTCAGTTTGGCTTATTTATTTATTTATTTATGCTGGTCCTGGGCCTTGAACTCTAGTCCTAGATGATGTCCCTAAGTTCCTTTTGCTCAAGGCTAGCACTCTACCACTTGAGCCACAGCACCACTTCCAGCTTTTTTCTTTTTGCTTATGTGGTGCTGAGGAATCGAACCCAGGGCCTCAGGCATGCAAGGCAAGCGCTCTACCACTGAGCCACCTTCCCAGCCCTCACTCCATTTTCTTGATGAAAGCTAGTGTTCTACTTGAGTCACATCTCCAGTCCAGCATTTTGCTGGTTAATTGGAGATACAGTCTCTTGGACTTTGTCTTTGAACCTTGATCCTCCAGATCTCAGCTTCCTGAGTGTCAAGAATTATAGGCATGAGCTACTGGCATCGGGTTTATCATTATTTTGCCTATCTGTGCTACTCCTTTGTTTGACCTTAGGTTAAAAGTTCTGTATGTGCTTTAAAAATTTGAGAAAATTAAAACATAGATTCAACTGTATTTGTGAAATAAAAAGAGGGAAACACAAAGTTAAAAATCATCCTTTCATGAAAGCAAAAGATAAATGATAGGATACCCTGAACTTTTTTACAACAGGGGTAGAGGAAAAAAGTGGATAAATATAAAAATGCCAAAATCAGATGTCATTTTCCAAAAACATTTTCATAATTACCAGAAACAGCTCTAGCAGAAAGAAAAATCATACTTTTTATAATTTTTTAAAACTTTTTCTCTGATTGCTGAATCTCACCTAAAAATTGAAGATTATTTCCACTAATTTTTTTGTGGCAGGACTGGGACTAGAACTCAGGGCCTAGGCGCTGCCCCTTATCTTTTTCACATAAGGAACATGCTATCCCACTTGAACCACAGCTCTACTTTTGGTCCTGTGGCAGTTAATTGGAGGTAAGATTCTCATGGACTTTCCTGTTCAAGCTGGCTTCAAACCATGATCCTCAGATCTCAGCCTCCTAAGTAACCAGGTTATAGCATGAGCCACTGGGCACCTGTTTTCTACTGAAAACTTGAATGCAGTGGACTGTAGTCAATGTAAGAAACAGGTTTATTTGTTTGCAAAATATTCCATTTCCTTCATCAAAGTTTTCACCAAGGGCCCTTGCTTAAAATGTTTATCCTCTGTATTTTTGCCCCACATCTCCCAAGAGATTTATACATATATTATAATTATAATAGAAAGATAACTAATATTAATTCGTTTCTTTGAATACTTTAGAATTATATATACTTTAAGCCACAAAATATAAATATTCAAACATTTTAAAAGTTTTTCAAAGTGATAAACAGAAAGTACATCTGCTATTAACAGAAGTTCTGACGTACATTCTGATATACCATTTTGAAACCTTACCAATCAAAAAATGTCATTTTTACCTCTTCTTGTCCAAACTGTTCCATAGAATCACAGTAAACTTCACTGTCTGAATCACTTGTCAAATGCTGAATTCCTGAAATATCTTCAACATGATCATCATTTATATCTAAATATGAACAAATGTCCAGGTAGGATAATTATACTCTAATAGAAGACAAATACATTTTTATATTCCATTTTCTAAATTAATCAGCCCTATATTATGTTCATACTGAGAGACAAATTTGATATTTCAAGTCTGTCTGTCTATCTATCTATCTATCTATCTACCCCATATTAGCCTCAAACTCATAATCCTCCTGACTCAGCCTCCTAAGTGCTAGAATTTCAGGTACACAAGTACTTTTAAGTCATATTATTGTTAACTTACCAAAAGTTTAAATTTAGTCAATAATTCTTATTTAAATTATTACAAAGCTTTTATTATTGAATTCTATGAAACCACTGTCTAGATAAAACCTTAGAAAAATTAATAACCATATAAGACAAAACAGCTGCCACACAGGAAGTCTAATTTGAAATGTAATTATTCAAATTTGTTACACATTGATTTTTGGATACAGTTACAGCAACATTAATGATTCTGTGCAGACATACTATAGACTCCCTCTAGACCTCTAGAATATAAAAGACTAGCCAAGCGCCTGTGGCTCACGTCTGTAATTCTAGGTACACAGGAGGCTGAGATCTGAGGATTATGGTTCAAAGCCAGCCCAGGCAAGAAAGTCTGTGAGACTCTTATCTCCAATTAACCACCAGAAAACCAGAAGTAGAACTGTGGCTAAAAGTGGCAGGTTCCTAGCCTTGGCAAAAAAGCTCAGGGACCATGGAAGAAACGAGGGAGTGAGGATTGGAGGGAAAAAAAATCAGGAAAACTGGAGGTTTAGTTGAAGTGGTAGAGCACTTGACCTGCAAGCTCAGGGTTATGAGTTCAGTCCCCAATGCTGTCAATAACAACATCATAAATAACACCAATAACAACAACATAAATAAATAAATCAGGAACAAAAATGTCAAAGATTTTAAGGTATTATATCTAAGAACAAAGTAAGAGCCAGGCGCTGGTGGCTCACACCTGTAATCCCAGCTACTCAGGGGGCTGAAATCTGAGGATTGCTGTTCAAAGCCAGCCCAGGCAGGAAAGTCTGTGAGACTCTTATCTTCAATAAACCACCAGAAAACTGGAAGTAGCACTGTGGCTCAAGTGGTAGAGCACTAGCCTTGAGCTGAAGAGCTGAGAGACAGCACCCAGGCCCAGAGTTCAAATTCCATGACCAAAAAAAAAAAGAACACAATAAGAATATGTCATGATAAAAGTTCTGAACACAGAGGCATGATGCAATATGCCTATAATCCCAGCACTTGAGAGGCTGAAGCCAGAGAATCACAAATTCACAGCTGCATAGGAAGACTATATCTTAAAGGAAAAAAAAAAAGGTCCTCGTCCTAATTCTCTGCCTCTCAAAGCTAAACATTCTTCATTAAAAAAATATGTATATATATATATATATGTAATAATTGTATTGTTGTTATTAACGTATTGTACAGAGGGGTTACTATTTCATAAGTCAGTAAAGAACTTGGATAATGTCACCTCTTCTTTTGCTTTCCCCCAGTTTTCCCCTCCTGTCCCCGTCCACAAATTGCACAGTTCATTTTCCAGTGTCTACTGAATACCATGAATGCATTTGTTCACCATTCTTCCCTCCCTTTCTGTACCACCTCTCTGCCCTCTAAAAAGACAAAAAAAAAAAAAAGGAAAAAGAAAGAAAGCAAAAACAAACAAAAATACAATAATAACAAAACCCATGGTTTCCATTTTCTGGAATTCATTTGGATAATTCATTTGGATAAATATTTTAAATGTTCAGAAGAGTTATGCCTTTGGGTTCCTCCCTTAAGAGCATTCTCCTTTAGTAGAACAACTGTTTGTATGTGAATGCCTAGAGTCCTGTATACATTATCATGTCCAGTTGTATTTTAGATCTTCAAAGCTAAACACTCATACTATTAATAAACTCTTAAGATACTATTCAGTAAGTTTTTTCAAACTATTTCTAAATATCCCAAAATTACTAAAAGAATATTTGAGCCATAGGGAAATGGCTAAACAAAGTATTTGAAGATAATACCTTCATGAACACAGACAACAGTGTTTCCAGTTGGCTCTAAGTTCTGCTCTATACACTTTCCTTCTTCAGCATTTCCACCTTTCAGTGAAGAATCAGGATGAACTTCATGCTGCATGTCCTGAACAAAGCTGTCTTTATCATAGCCATTAGTGACAATAAGTTCCAGATTATCTGTTAATTTCTTCATTTTCTTATCTTTTATGAGAAGAGAGATTCAGAAAAGATCGTAGTAAGTCAACTTCTGCATAAAATAGTCTAATAGCTATTAGTCTTTTTTTTTTTTTTTGTGGTCATGGGGCTTGAACTCTGGGCCTGTGGCACTGACCCTTAGCTCTACAGCTCAAGGCTAGGGCTCTACCACTTGAGCCACAGTTCCAGTTAAGGCTTTCTGGTGGTTAACTGGAGATAAGACTCTCATGGACTTTCCTGCTCAGGCTGGCTTTGAACTGTGATCCTCAGATCTTGGCCTCCTGAGTAGCTAGCATTACAGGCATGAGCCACCAACGCCCGGCTTATTAGTCATTTCTCTCTGAAGGTTTTCCTACCTGAATTAGAAAGATGAAGCACTCTTTGAGAAGAGTGCACAGCTCCCCAAAAATGATGTTGACTTTAAAACTGCTTCCATTCCCTGTGATTATTCTAAAGTATCGTTCAAAAATAATTTATCAGGCCAAGTATCAGTGGCTCATGCCTGTTATTACTGCCTGCTCAGGAAAATGAGATCCTGAGGGTTGCATTTAAAGCCTGCCTTAGTAAAAAAAAAAAAGTCTACACAAATCTATCTCCAAAATAATCAACAAAAAGCAGAGCTGGAGGCATGACTCAACTGATAGGGCACCAGCCAAGCAAGCTAAACCAATCAAGTTTGAGACCTCAAATTTAAGCCTTGGTACCAGCAAAAGGAAAAGCAAAAGAACGTTAAAGGCTGGAAAGTATAGACAAAGCTAAGTGGTAACAGTGTGTTTTAAGTCTGTTTTAGTGGGGTTTTTTTTCTTTCTAAAATAACCTTCTCATAAGTTACAGGAACTCCTACTAACAAAGTTACATTTAGGAATGTAGTACCCCATAATTCCAGTGTTCCCTCTCCATCAAAACTTAGGCCTAAAGATTAAGGATAGAGCACTTGCCTAGCACACATGAGGCCCTGAGTTTGATTCTCAGGGCTGCAAAAAGCAAAAACAAGCTGGGAAAAGGTGGCTAACACCTGTAATCCTAGCTATCTAGGAAGCTGAAATTGGAGAATCACAGTTCTAAGCCAGCCCAGGCAGGAAAATCTATGTGACTTTTGTATTCAATTAACCAGCAAAAAGTCAGAAGTAGAGGTATGGCTTAAGTAGTATAATACCAAGCAAGAGCCTGTGGCCCTGAGTTCAAACCCCAACACACATGCACGCACACGTGCACATGTACACACGTGTACACGTGTGTACACACACACAAATATGCATACCTATATTCTATTCTCTGGAGTGCACTTTAATCTTGATAAGATACTGAGAATTTAAATTGTTTCTGGTTCTTAGTAACATGTATATCCACATCAGAAACATTGCCTTTTAAATAACTTGGCAGGTACTACATTTGGTCTATTCTTGGTCAGCCTTCAATTAACACTGTCATTTATGCTTAAGTCTGGATGTAGCAGAGCCATTTGGTCAACAGGCCATAACCCACGATGTGCACTGATCTCACACAGTATCTAATCATGCCAATGTCTGAATGCCTTTTTTTTTTTTTGCCAGTCCTGGGAATTGAACTCAAGTCCTGGAAATTCATTTTTAGCTCAAGGCCAGTGCTTTTGAGCCACAGTGCCACTTCCAGCTTTTTTTGAGTAGTTTATGATAGTAAAAGTCTCATAGATTTTCCTGCCCAGTCTGGCTTCAAACCATGATCCTCAGATCTCAGCCAGGATTAGAGGCATGGCTCACCAGCACCTGGACTGAATGACCTTTTATTTAGTATAAAATTATTAACCTGATACCTAAAACTTACCATTATCACTTTGCTTTGTTCCCTTTACTTCTTCTTGGGCCTCATCTTCCTCGGACTCAGCTCCACTGTCACTGCTTTCTGCTTTGCCGTTAACAGTTTTGGCATTTGGAGTAGAAGTTAGAACATTACCAAGATCTAAAACATAAATTGACCATTTATATCACTCATTCGGTAATAGATAATCATGGCTTGATTTTTAATGAATAAAGCAATTCTGAATTAATATCCTAGAATTTTATATATGATAGTATTCTTACACTCAAAATATACCTACATTAGTAGACACATTCTTTCAATTATCAGTTTACAACAAAAATGATAAAGCTAAGCTATCAAATATTATTTGAACAAAGCACAGAATAATTGTTTTTAAGTTAACATCATTTGAAATCGTAAAGATAAGCATAAATGAGCTTCAGAAATGATGAGATATACTAGCCTGCTAAAAAACATAAAAATGTTGTTTTGGGCCATTCCAACAATCTCATCAACATTACACTTGGACTCCATTTTAAAACTTTTTGCAGGGGAAGGGGTCAGATACTAGGGCCTCATACTTTCCCCTAGATTTTTTTTTTTTTTTTTTGCCAGTCATGGTGCCTGAACTTTGGGCCTGGGCACTGTCCCTCAGCTCTTCAGCTCAAGGCTAATGCTCTACCACTTGAGCCAAGCACCACTTCCAACTTTTTCTGCTTATGTGGTGCTGAGGAATTGAACCCAGGGTCTCATACATGCAAGGCAAGTACTCTACCACTGAGCCACCTTCCCAGCCCCTCCCTTAGATTTTTTTGATCAAAGCAAGTGTTCTATCATTTGAGCCATATCTCAGCTTCTCGTTAACTGAAGATAGAGTCTCTCAGACTTTTTCTACTCTGGCTGGCTTCAAATCTTCATCCTCTGATCTCAGCCTCCTGAGCAGCAACGATTACAGTCATCAGGCAGTAGCAACTTGGCCTTTCAGAACAGTTTTCATAACTGTTTGTTTGTAGAGTACCAGAGATCAAACTTAACACCTCATACATGCTAGGCAGATACTGCCCCACTGAGGTATACCTCAGTTTATATTATAAACTGAATCAGTATTGGGTGGATCAAATCTAAAGTCTTATGTATGCTAGGCACAAGAGAATCATGGTTTTTTCATCTCTCTCACTCTCCCTGACAGTCTAGAAGAAAATAATAATTAAATAAAAGCAAAGCCATGCTAGTGGCTCATGCCTGTAATCCTGGCTACTAAGCAGGCTGAGATCTGAGGATCATGGTTTGAAGCTAGCCTGGGAGGAAAGTCCATGAGACTCCTATCTCTAATTTAAAAAAAAAAAGTGAAAAACTCTGATTTCAAAACTTACTACTTAAGGGTATGCGAAGGAGGACAATGTAAAGGGCTCAACAGCTATGTGCGTATGATCACATAAAATGATGCTTATTGAGATCAATTCCAAGAAATGGAAACAGCAACAAACTTTTTACATTTTGGGTTTTTACATTTTGGGGTTTTTTTTTCCCCCCTTTTGTCACTGTTTTTGATTGCTGTTCCTTTTTTTTTTTTTTTTTGGGGGGTCTGGTCGTGGGGCCTGAACTCTGGGCCTGGGCACTGTCCCTCAGCTCTTCAGCTCAAGGCTAGTGCTCTACCACTTGAGCCACAGCGCCACTTCCGGCTTTTTTCTTTTTGCTTATGTGGTGCTGAGGCATTGAACCCAGGGCCTCATGCATGCAAGGCAAGCGCTCTACCACTGAGCCACCTTCCCAGCCCTGCTGTTCCTTTTGTTCTGTTTATTAGTTTATCTGATTTGGGGAGAGGAAGGGGAAGCACAGAAACAGTGGGACAAAGGGTGAACCAATTCAGAAGTGATACTTACTAGACACTGTATTGAAAATGAATCATACAACTTGGGGGAAAGGGGATCGGGAGGGAAGAAACTGGGAGAAAATGACACTATTCAAAAAGAAATGTACTCCATACCTGATTTATATAACTGTGACCCCTCTGTATATCATTTTAACAAAAATTTGTTTTTTAAGATTATGTAAGGGGGCTGGGAAGGTGGCTCAGTGGTAGAGCGCTTGCCTTGCATGCCTGAGGCCCTGGGTTCAATTCCTCAGCACCACATAAGCAAAAAGAAAAAAGCCGGAAGTGGTGCTGTGGCTCAAGTGGTAGAGCACTCGCCTTGAGCTGAAGAGCTGAGGGACAGCGCCCAGACCCAGAGTTCAGGCCCCACAACCGGACCCAAAAAAAAAAAAAAAAAAAAGATTATGTAAGGGCTAGGAAGATGGCTTAGTGGTAGAGTGTACGGAGTTGGAGGCATGGCTCAACTGGTAGAGCACTAGTCAATGAGCAAAAACATTAAATACCAAGTTCAAGTCCTGATCTTCGACCTAAGAAAAGAAAGTGATTTATGGGGCTGGGAATGTGGCTTAGTGGTAGAGTGTTTGCTTAACATGCATGAAGCTTAACAGGCATGAAGCCCTGGTTTGATTCCTCAGTACCACATTAACAGAAAAGGCCCCACGTGAAGCTGTGGTTCAAGTGGTAGAGCTCTAGCCTTGAGCAAAAGAAGCTCAGGGATAGTGCCCAGGCCTTGAGCTCAGGCCATAGGACTGGCAAAAAAAAAAGGGTTAAAAAAAATTGGATTGGTTGAGTTTGAGGATTTTTTTTTTTTTGAACAGTACTAAGTAGGTTTGTTTTTTGTTTTTTAATTTTAATTTTTTGTCAGTTGTGGGGCTTGAACTCTGGGCCTGCGCGCTGTCTCTGTGCTCTTCAGCAGGGTGCCACAGTGCCATGTCTGGTTTTCTGCTGGTTAACTGGAGATAAGAGTCTCACTGACTTTCCTGCCTAATCTGGCTTTGAACCACAATCCTCCTATCTCAGCCTCCTGAGTAGCTAGGATTACAGCGTGAGCCACCGGTGTCCAGCTAGTACTAAGGTTTTAATTCCTGACTTTGAACTTACCAGGCAGAACTATACCACTTGAGCCATGCCTCTAACCATTTTTGCTTTAGTTATTTTTCAAATAGTGTCTCGCATTTGTGCCTAAGCCAGCCTGGATCACAATTCTATTTACATTTCCATTATAACTGAGGATTACAGGGCACACCACTCTGCCCAGCTGCTTATTGGTGGAGATAGATGGAGTTTTGCTTTTTCCTGGAATTGAATGGCCTTTAAGCATGACTGGATCCCTGCCACCACTCCTAGCACAAGAGACTAAAAAAAAAAAAAAAGAGAGAGAGAGAGAGAGACAGACAGACAGACCACAAACTAGCTTGTAGTTTGGCAAGTCAGATATAACAATTTAAAATCTATTTCTCATATTATTTCTTACAGATAAACTTCCACATATCTAAAGTGACATATGTACAGAAACTTTCAGCAGGATTTTTTCAGGATTCAAAAAGAATGAAAGCTGGGGCTGGGAAGGTAGCTTAGTGGTACAGTGCTTGCCTAGCATGCATGAAGCCCTGGGCTGGATTCCTAGTACCACATAAACAGAAAAAGCCAGAAATGGTGCTGTGGCTCAAGTGGTAGAGTACTAGCATTGAGGAAAAGAAGCTTGGGGACAGTGCCCAGGCCCTGAGTTCAAGCCCAGGAATGGCAATTAAAAAAAAAAGTGTGAAAGCTTTTATAACACTCCCTCCCTGCCACCCCCCAAAAAACAATGAGTGAAAAATGCAATGTCCATTATAAGGGTTCAGGTTAAATAAATTATCGTTTAAGTCTATTGGCCTTTGCTTACAACCCATGAATCCAAATATATTTTGAAATCCCAAGATTACTAATGTTGCACTATGTGTTATGAATATCATATATATGAATATCTAACATGAGTATCAGAATCCACTAAAAACAAACCAAAACTAACAAAAAGACTTTCACAAAAAATAATATTTTGGGGCTGGGAAGGTAGCACAGTGGTAGAGTGCTTGCCTTGCATGTATGAGGCCCTGGGTTCGATTCCTCAGAATCACATGAGCAGAAAAAGTCGGAAGTGGCACTGTGGCTTAAGTGGTAGAGCATTATTAGCCTTGAGCTGAAGAGCTGAGGGACAGCACCCAGGCCCAGAGTCTAGGCCCCACAACCAACCAAAATAACAACAACAACAACAATAATAATAATAATATTTTTACAGCAAAGCATATAAATATTCGAAATCATTAGTATAAAGAATAGAAATAGATAAGCACCAGTGGCTCATGCCAGCTGGGGCAGGAAGTCCATGAGACTCTTATCTCCAATAAACTACCAAAAAAGCCAGAAGTGAAGCTATGGCTCAAGTGGTAGAGTGCTAGCCTTAAGCATAAAAGCTCAAGGACAGTACTCAGGCCCTGAGTTCAAGCCCCAGGACCAGCACTAAACCAAAAATAAACAAAAGAATAGAAATAGTTATATATGATGACACATGCCTGTAATTGTAGCACTTGAAAGGCTGAGGTAGAAGGACTGTAATTTCAAAGCCAGTTTGAGCTACACATAAAATTCTAGGCCATTATGAACTTATACGGACATCATGTTTCAAAAAGAAAAAAACAAATAGATGAACACCAACGTCTCACACTTATAATCCTTGCTGAGATCTGAAAGATGGCAGTTCAAAGCCAGCCCAGGCAGAAAACAATTGCAAGACTCCATCTCCAAAATAACAACAAAAAGCTAGGCTGGAGTCATGACTCTGGGCACCAGCCCAGAAAGCACTAAACCCCAGTATGCCCAAGCAAACAAAAAAGAATCAGGGGCTGGGAAGGTGGCTCAGTGGTAGAGTGCTTGCCTTGCATGCATGAGGCCCTGGGTTCGATTCCTCAGCACCACATAAACAAAAAGAAAAAAGCCAGAAGTGGTGCTGTGGCTCAAGTGGTAGAGTGCTAGCCTTGAGCTGAAGAGCTGAGGGACAGTGCCCAGGCCCAGAGTTCAGACCCCACGACTGGACCCAAAAAAAAAAAAAAAAGAAAAAAAGAATCAGAATAGCGTTACATGGTTCAGATTAGGTTTTGTTCCTTAATAAGTTCATGAGAGGACAAGTTTTAAAAAAAAATGCTGGGTACTGGTGGCTCATGTCTGTAATGCTAGCAACTCAGGAGGCTGAGATCTAAGGATTGCAGTTCAAAGCCAGACCAGGCAGCAAAGTCCATAAGACTCTTTATCTCCAATAAACCACCAGAAGACCGGAAGTTGTTCTGTGGCTCAAGCGGTAGAACGCTAGCCTTGAGCTGAAGAGCTGAAGGACAGTGCCTAGGACCCCATGACCACCACCACCACCAACAACAACAACAACAACAAAAACAAAAATTGATTTTCCAAAGCTTTGGAGATTAAATTGCAACCAGCAGTGGGCTAGTGCTTTTACTCTTCCTTCTTTCATACTTAGTTACCCAAATATCTGTCTCTACCAGCCAACTAGACCCAGCCAAACAGACCCAAGTTTATCCCCACCCTTCAACTTAATAACTTGGTTGACTAAAAGGAAAAAAAACTTAACTTCTTTTTTTTTTTAGACCATATTTAACAGATCAGTTGCCTGGAATGTGTGAATATATTCTTAATTTACACTGGCATACACAGTAAATGGAAATGGGTAATGGTAATCCATATAACTTTTTTTTCTTAACTGAATAATCATGAAGTATAAGGGGAAAAAAAATGGCTGGACCCCTGTGCCTCACACCTGTAATCCTAACTACTCAGGAGGCTGAGAACTAAGGACTGCAGTTGGAAGCCAGCCTAAGCAGGAAAGCATGTGAGATTCTTATTTCCAATTAACTACAAAAAAAAAAAAAAAGCCAGAAGTGGAGCTGTGGCTCAAATGATAAAGTCCTAATCTTGAGCAAAAAAATCTCAGGGACAATACCAAGACCAGTATGCACGCGCACGCACACACGCACACACACACACACACAAAGACTAATAACATTTGTGTTCTCTAAGAATAGTGTGATACAGGGTTATTGCTCAGTTAGCTGTCACTTTCAATTGTATGTGACTTATTAACATGAAAGTAAACTACAATGCTTGATTACCTATACAAAGATTACTATTCTGAAATGCTGAAATCTCTGTCAATAACTAAAAGATACTTTATAAAGAAGAACACAGGCCTATTTTTATTTTTTATTTTTTTATTTTTTTTTAATTTTTTTTTTTGGGGTCCGGTCGTGGGGCCTGAACTCTGGGCCTGAGCTCTGTCCCTCAGCTCTTCAGCTCAAGGCTAGCGCTCTACCACTTGAGCCACAGCCCCACTTCCGGCTTTTCTTTTCTGCTTATGTGGTGCTGAGGAATCGAACCCAGGGCCTCAGGCATGCAAGGCAAGCGCTCTACCACTGAGCCACCTTCCCAGCCCCAGGCCTATTTTTAAAGCATAAAGTTTTCATTTAAATTTATTCACAAGGTCTCACTTCACTCTGCTTTCTAAAAGACATGTAAAGAGTAAATGTTTACCGTTAGTATTAGCAAACCTTACATTTTATTTCCTGTCAGTTTGCAAACATAAGCCTTTATATTCTTCAACAAGCTAGGCACTGGTGGCTCACACCTGTAACCCTAGCTACTCAGGAGGCTGAGATCTGAGGATCACAGTTCAAAGGCAGCCAAGGCAGAAAAGTCCCTGTGAGACTGTTATCTCTAATCAACCACTCAAAAACCAGAAGTGGAGCTGTGACTCAAAGAAGTAGAGCACTAGCCTTGAGCAAAAGAGCTCAGGGACAGTGCCCAGGTCCTGAGTTCAAGCCCCACAACCAACCAAAATAAATAAATAAACACTTCAACAAAAACATGGAAACAAAATTTTTAAAAAGTCACACACATAACTGCCCAGCACTCGTGGCTCATGCCTGGAATCCTAGCTATTTGGGAAGTTGAGATTTGAGGATCATGGTTAAATTCTACACAGGCAAAAAAGTTGGTGAGACTTACCTCCAATTATCCAGCAAAAAACCAGAAGTAAAGCTGTGACTTAAGTGGTAGAGCACAGGTATTTAGCAAAAAAGCTCAAGGACAATATCCAGGCCCCAAGTTCAAGTCCTAGTACCAGCACTCAAACACACCAAGTTACTTGATATCTTAGATTCACTTGCTATGTTACACTTAAACCATACTATAAACACCCATGTTTAAAATTAACTTCAAAATCATTTAATCCATGGTATTGTAACATAATTTATAAAGAAATATAGAAAATAATTAAGCAAAAGACAACTATTTTTTTTTTGGGGGGGGGGGGCTAGTCCTGGTGTTTGAACTCAGGGCCTGGGCTCTGTCCCAGAGCTTCTTTTTGCTCAAGGTTAGTGCTCTGCCACTTGAGCCATAGTGCCACTTACGGTTTTTTCTGTTTCTGTGGTACTGAGGAATCGAACCTAGGGCTTCATACATGTTAGGCAAGCACTCTACCACTAAGCCATATTCCCAATCCTAAGCAAAAAACAACTATAAATTGCTATAATTTTGTTTATACTAAATGAACCACATAGGATGGTTTCATAACTTATCATATAAGTATTCAAACCTTAAAAGTTTATTTAGAACTTCCTATAATGTGTTTTCTTAGAATGAAAATTCCTGAGTGACAAATTTATATACTATATAAATTCATACAGAATTATCTTATCTGGAAATATTAAAAATTTTATGTGGATTTCATTATTCCTACCTTCTAAGTATTTAGAGATTTTCTCCAATCGGACTAGCATGAAAAAAGTAAAAGAAAAAATTAGACATGTAGGCATCAGTTCATACATAAGAGGTTAGTTGCTAAATTTAAAAGGTTAACAAAAATAGTCAAGCATAACGGCGCACACCTATAATCCCAGTACTCTGAAGGGTAAAGGCAGGAAGACTGTGAATTTGAGGCTAGTATAGGATAGCAAGGCCAGGCTGAACTACAGAATAAGTCCCTATCTCAAAAAAATAAAGAAGGTTAAAAAAGTCCAACCTGAGGTTAAATCAGAACTCCTGCCACATTTTTTATCTTCCACAATTTCATAAAATGGACCTATGACTTGTAGCAGTTCTTCAACTTTCTCAGTCATGGGCATAGTTTCAATAATCTGTAATCAAAAAGAGACAAATACTGTGAAATCATATCTATTCATTTAATCTATATGCCTATCAAGTAATTTATGCTTTCCAATTTATTAATAATTTTGACATTTGAAGTTTATTAACAGACTTCCAAAAGGAACTATAAATTACATACTTAATGCACATATACTCCTAGAAAAATCTCAAACATAATAATGATGGAAAAGCACTCTTATGTTGAAGACTATTTGACTTATGTAAAACTTTAAAACAAACACTCAAAAAGAAACTGTGTTAGAGTAAAATTATAATGTTTGTTCTTTAATACTAAGATAGTGTTTCAAGAAGGCATAAAAGTAAAGCAGGAGAGGGGCTGGGAAGATGGCTCAGTGGTAGAGCGCTCGTCTTACATGCCTCTGAGGCCCTGGGTTCGATTCCTCAGCACCACATAAGCAAAAAGAAAAAAGCTGGAAGTGACGCTGTGGCTTGAGCTCTAGCCTTGAGCTGCAGAACTGAGGGACAACACCCAGGCCCAGAGTTCAGGCCCTACAACTGGCCCCCCCCCCAAAAAAAAAAAAAGAAGAAGAAGAAGAAGAATTAGCTGGACACCAGTGGCTCACACCTGTAATCCTAGCTACTCAGGAGGCTGAGATCTGAAGATTGTGGTTTGAAGCCAGCCTGTGCAGAAAGTCCCCCTGGGGCTCTTATCTCTAATTAATCACTCAAAAATAGGAAGTGGCACTGGGGCTCAAGTGGTAGAGCCTTGATCACAGAGAGGCTCAGGGACAGCACCCAGACTCTGAGTTCAAACTCTACAACCAACAAAAAATGAAGAAGAATTATTGGCCAGCTACCAGTGGCTCACACTTATAAATCTTGCTACTCAGGATGCTGAGATCTGAGGTTTACAGTTCAAAGTTAGCCCAGGCAGGAAAGACCATAAGACTCTTATCTGCAATAAATTACAAAAAAGCTAAAAATGGCTGGGCACTGTGGCTCACACCTGTAATCCTAGCTACTCAGGAGGCTGACATCTGAGGATCATGGTTCTAAGCCAACCCAGGCAGGAAACTCCATGAAAATCTTATCTCTAATTAACTACCAGCGTGGCACTGTGGCTCAGGTGGTAGAGCGCTAGCCTCGAGCTAAAGAGCTCAGGGACAGTGCCCAAGCCCAGAGTTCAAGCTCCACGAATGACAAAAAAAAAAAAAAGCCAGAAATGGTGTTGTGGCTCCAAGTGGTAGAGCACAAAAGTTCAGAGACAGCACCAAGGCTCTATGTTAAAACTCTAGGACTGACACTAAAAAAAAAAAAAAAAAAAATCGTTTTAATTTTATGATATTGACTCACTATAATAGAAACTATCCAAATGCAGAAGGTTTTAACAAAAATATTTGGCAAGTTGTATCAACTAGAAAAGCAGCATTCAGGGGCTGGGAAGGTGGCTCAGTGGTAGAGCGCTTGCCTTACATGCATGAGGCCCTGGGTTCCATTCCTCAGCACCACATAAGCAAAAAGAAAAAAGCAGGAAGTGGTACTGTGGCTCAAGTGGTAGAGCACTAGCCTTGAGCTGAAGAGCTGAGGGACAGTGCCCAGGCCCAGAGTACAGGCCCCACAACCAGACGCAAAAAAAAAAAAAGAAAAGAAAAGCAGCATTCAGAATGTTGAAAGTGGTGACACTGACCAAGCCACGTTGTACTCATAAAACTGCTTTGTTAAATGACAACTCCTTTGTACAACTACTTAACAATAACAAAAAAAAAAAAGCAAAGAAAGGGGTTGGGAAAGTGGCTCAGTGGTAGAGTGCTTTGCCTTGCATGCATGAGGCCCTGGGTTTGATTCCTCAGCACCACATAAACAGAAAAAGCTGGAAGTGGCACTGTGGCTCAAGTGGTAGAGTCCTAGCCTTGAGCTGAAGAACTGAGGGACAGTGCCCAGGCCCAGAATTCAGGCCCACGACTGCCAAAAAAAAAAAAAAGGAAAGAAAAGCAGCATTCAAACCAAAGTAATTTTTCTAGCTTTATTCTTTATTACTGGGTTTTTTAGTTGTGGGCTTTTTTTGTTTGTTTTTTGCCAGTATTGGAGTCTGAATTCTTGCTCAGCTTTTTCACGCAAGGTTGCTGATGTTCTACCACTTGAGCTAAGCCTCTAGTTCTGGCTTTTTCCTGGTAAACTGAAGATAAACCTGCCAGAAGAAAGTCTACAAGGATGTTTCTGGCATAAGGCATAAGGCACTGAGTTCTGAACCACAGTACTTATTAAAAAAAAAAAAAAAAGAAAGACAGAAAGGAAGGAAAGAAGAAAGAAAGAGAGAGAAAAGAGTTACAGAAACCTACAGGTAATATTAGCATTTTAAGAGAGCTGAAAGACAGCGTAATAGTTTAACTTTAAAGTAGAATACACATTATTTCATCACCTCACTTGAAACTATGACTATACCATTAAACTGTGATGATGTCATTAATTAATAGAACTTGTATGAAAACAGGTAAACTTTAATGTGGGGATTCAAGTTTGTAATATAGAAATATACACTAAAGTTTCTGTTTGGGTATGTGTGTTCTAGTATGAGGGCTTGAACTCAGCCCCTGGGTACTGTCCCTTACAATTTTCACTCAGGGCTGGCACTCTACTACTTCAGCCACAGCTCCACTTCTGGTTTTCTGCTGGGTAATTGAAGATAAGACTTTTCTGCCTGGCCTGGCTTTGTATCACGTGATCCTCAGACCTCAGCCTCCTCAGTAGCTTAGCTATGATTACAGGCATGAGCCACCGTGCCCAGCTTCTATACTAAATTTAATGTAACAGGAATAGTTACCAAATCCAAAAGGCTTCAGGTACTCTTTCTCTTTCTCTCTCCCTCTCTCTCTTCCTCTCCCCCACTCTCTCTATCTCTGTCTCTGTCTATCTCTCTCTCTCTTTCCCTCTTCCTCCCCCAAAGATTCTTTTGTTTGTATGCTCCTGCTTAGTTGACAGGCAAGAGAGTTAATCTCTGCCCTCTGTATTAAAGTCCACTAAATAAAGATTTCGAAAATGTAACAAAGGGCAAAACTTTGAACAGTGTATAAAGAGATTAGAAAACAGCAATGGGGTAGAGGGCAAGGAAACAGGGGAGAGGGGAGAATGGGAGGACGGGGGAATGGGAGGAGAGAAGAGGAGCCAAGCCAAGCCTGGCTGGACAACACACTCCAGACTGTCCTGCGTCAAATGATGCCAGCTGAGCATTAAAATCATCAAATAAAAGAAGAAGAAAAGACCACAGTGAAAGGCAGCCAGTAAGCAGCAAGGAGATAGATACGATTTGGAAATTCTCTTTCTAGTTCTAAGACTTATTAGACCAAAAAGCTATGACTAAGGCAGACCAGTAGATCATGCCTGTAATAACATTATGACACAATGTAAAACATCTTTAAGAAAAAACACTCACCTTAAGGTGAACTTCAATAATGTAGAAAATTCCCTAATAAATGTAATAATCTGTGACTGATAGTAACATACTACACTATTGTTGTTCCTTAAAACACTGTCTAATAGGGCTGGGAAGTTGGCTCAGTAGTAGAGTGCTTGCCTCCCATGCATGAGGCCCTGGGTTTGATTCCTCAGCACCACATAAGCAGAAAAAAGCCAGAAGTGGCACTGTAGCTCAAGTGGTAGGACGCTAGCCTTAAGCAAAAAAGCTCAAGGACAGTACTCAGGCCCTGAGTTCAGGCCCCATGACTGACGAAAAACAAACAAAAAACATTGTCAAATAAAAATAAATTATAAGCCAAGTACCAGTGGTTCACGACTGTAATCCTAGCTACTTCGAAGGCTGATCTGAGGATCATGGTTCGAAGTCAGCCCAGGCAGGAAAGGCTGTAAGAGTCTTATCTCCAGTTAATCATCAAAAGGTCAAAAGTAGAGTGGCTCAACTGGTAGAGCCAATTGAGTGAAAAAGCTAAGAGACAGATTCCAGGCTCTGAGTTCAAGCTCCAGTATTGGCTAAACAAACAATTAAGAGCTTAGTGTGCAACATCGCGTGCCCAGGGCTCAATCCCCAACAACCCCCCCCCCAAAAAAAATATAAACTAGATCTGCTTTACATACTTTTATTCTCTATTATGAATTATTTTCCCTACCTTTTTCATTTCTTCAACATATGCAATCATTGCTTCTTCTTTGGTCATATCACCCAATGAATTCCAAGCATCCCTAGAAATAAAATATTTTTAAAAAGACATAAAGGTGCTTAATTTTCACTTGAAGAAAATATAATTGATAGTTGATGCTATAGTCATTAATTATTTAAAACAGGTTTTACGTTAAGTCATGATATATTTCCAACACATCTTTTATTTTGTTTTATTTTTGGTCGGTCATGGGGCTTGAACTCCGAGCCTAGGCACTGACCCTGAGTTCTTCAGTTCAAGGCTAGAGCTCCACCACTTGAGCTACAGTGCAACTTCTGGTTTTCTGGTGGTTTATTGGAGATAAAGAGTCTCACGGACTTTCCTGACCTGACTGGCTTTGAACTCTGAACTGTGATCCTCAGATCTCAGCCTCCTGAGTAGCCAAGATTGCAGGCGTGAGCCACCAGTGCCCAGCTCCAACACATCTTTTTAATAAATGTGTCACCTTAAAGGAAACTAGAAAAGTTACTAGACTGGCAAATTAAACAGCATTTTTAAACAATTAGGTATTTAACGCATCCATATATTAAGAAACCACAGGGACTATAAGCTGTTCATAAGTATTTCCTAAGAACTCTTTACAAGCTTTTACATCAGTATAAAGAACAGTAATAGATGGGTTGGAAGAATGATTCAGATGGCAGCATGTCAGCCAGTGACTGAAAGCAACTGTCAGAGTTCAAGTCCCAGTCTAGCTGGAGCTAGCAGTAGCTTATACTTGTAGTCCTAGCTATTTGACACTGAGATGAGAAGAACTGCAGTTCATAGCTCAGGCCAAAGGTTGAAAGACCCCTTTTCAACCAATTCCTGTGTGTGGTAGTATAGGCATGTCAGCCCAGGTAAAGTTAAAAGCTAAAAGCAGGAGGACTGAAGTCCAGGAATAAAAATGAGCAAAAACCACTACAACAGCCAGGCACTGGTGGCTCATACCTGTAATCCAAGCTACTAAGGAGGCTGAGATCTTAGGATCGTGGTTTGAAGCCAGCCCAGGCAAGAGCACTTGCCTTGAGCTAGTGCTCAAGGGAGACTCAGGGACAGTGCCCAGGCCCTGCTTCAAGGTCTCAGGATTGGCAAAAAAAAAAAAAAAAAAAAGGAAAGGCTGGTTTGGAGGTGAAGCACAAGTGGTAGAGTGCTTGGGTAGCAAGTGAAAGGTCTGAGTTCAATTATAAAGGAGAAGATAAATCTTTGTTAAACAAATGAAAATATAAGTATAAGAATGCATTAAAAAACAAAAGCCAGGCACAGTGGCATATGCCTATAATCACACCTATGATGGAAATTTAAGTAGGAAGATCATGCACCAGATACCCTGAACAAAAAAATGGGAGACCTTATCCAAAAAGAAAACTAAAACAAAAAGGGACAGGGGTTAGGACTTGGCTCAAGTCATAAAACATTTGCCTAGCAAGCTCAAAGCTTGAAGTTCAAACTCGTGTCTCCCCCACTTGTGTCTCCCCCTCAAAAAAAGTTTCCATTTTTTAAATAAGTCTGATGTATATATTTGAACTAAAAATGAAGATGGTTTTCTTTTTTTTTCTTCAATCAAGATGTAAAGAGTAGAAAATGTACAGATCCCTTGATAAAAATAGTCTTCTTTATACTTACAAATTTGGCCTAACAAAAAAACTTCTCTTTATACATTTTTCCTATAAGTGTATTCTAGAGGTCAAGTGTAGGGGGGGAAAAGTTAGCTTTTTATTTTTCTGTAGACAGGTAAATTTTTTTCCTTTTTTTTCTTTCTTCCTTTCTTTCTTTTTTTTTTTTTTTTGTCGGTCGTGGGGTCCTGAACTCTGGGTCTGGGCACTGTCCCTCAGCTCTTCAGCTCAAGGCTATTGCTCTACCACTTGAGCCACAGCACCACTTCCAGCTTTTTCTGCTTATGTGGTGCCGAGGAATCAAACCCAGGGCCTCATGCATGCAAGGCAAGCGCTCTACCTCTGAGCCACCTTCCCAGCCCTAGACAGGTAAATTTGCTTAAGACACAGTGTGTACATATTAACATTTCACTTAACATATTATTTTATGACTATAAAGATCCTACAGAGAACTAATTCAAGGTGAAGAAAGTTAGCATTTAGTGGCTCCTAAGGCATTCTGCACTAACTAGCATATTCTTGATAAAGAATAGCTTAAACAGTGCTGGTAGCTCAGGCCTGTAACTCTAGCTACACAGAGGCTGAGATCAGAGGTTCCCTGTTTGAAGCCAGCTCAGGCAGGAAAGGCCTTGAGACTCTTATCTCCAACAAACTACTCAGAAAAAGCTGGAAGTGGCACAGTAGCTCAAGTGGTAGAGTGGTAGCCTTGAGTAATAGCTCAAGGATAGTGCCTAGGCTTGAGTTCAAGCCCCAGGACCGGCACCAAAAATAGAATAGCCTAAAGTAAAATTTTGTCAGACATACATAACGTTTACCATAGTATTTAAAAATACCAGATGATAGTCAACTGAGAGAATGGTAGAAATGTTTGAAGTTTTATGACTCAATTATACCTAAAATAAATAAACTTCTATTCAAGCACAGTGGTTCTTAAGTGACAGCTTAGATAAAAATCCATGTGGCAATACCTGAGCATATTCCTAGTTACATATTCTTTTAAAGGGTCAAAGCAAACAATGTCCCTAGATAAGCACAAAAGTCATTATTTTTTTTGGCAGGATTTTGTTTCATTCAATTTGTTTAGGAGTTGTTTGGAGGGGGGAAAAAAACTTCACAAATGAAAAGATTAAGAAACAAAATATGGAGAAGCAAAGCACCAGTGGCTCACAGTGTAATCCTAGCCACTCAGGAGGCTGAGATCTGAGGACTGCAGTTCAAAGTCACCCCAGGCAGGAAAGTCTGTGAAACTCTTATCTCTAAATAACCACCAAAAAGCAGGAAGTGGAGATGTGGCTCAAATGTCAGAGCATCAGGATTCAGCAAAAAAGTTAAGGGACAGTGCCTAAACCCTGAGTTCATGCCCTAGGATCAGCACAAAAGAGAGACGAAAAGAGAGAGAAATTAATTAAACATGCTTTCCATCATTGATTTACCTACACTAACCCCTCTTGGATTTACTGCCTTCTTCAAGTCTTTCCTTATTTATGTAAAATTGTACTAAGCGTCCTTAAAGGATAAAATATCTGTGTAGTACCTACAACAGTTATTCATAGAGTAATATATAAGACTGTAACTAACAGCTGTATAATTATGGCATTAAAATGTCTCTCTTAGTTCTCTAAGTTAAATTACCATTTATATCTTCCAATAGGATCCCAGAATCCAGGCCTTGAAAGTTTACAGGGTCCTTCAGTCGCTTGTTTGTAGAAGCTATAAAACTTGAGCATCATTTCATTTGTTGGCTGGAATGATCCTGTTGGAAACATTAACAGATAACCTGAAGTTACATATTAGCTTAGCCATATTGTATTAATAGTTATTTTACACTTAATTAGGAGTTCAGATAATTTATTTTTACCTGAAGAACTAAAGTTAATTTCTCTACTTCTCTGCTCTGAAAAAACTCTGAAATTTGAAACTTCAGTAACAATACTAAACAAAGTTCATAGCTAAAATAAATGATTACACTATAGGTATAGCCAAAATATCCAGCAAAGTTATATTAAAATATGTTAAAATGTAGAATAACATTATGCAAAGCAGTTGACAAATATGACAAATCAAACTTGATTATCATTAATAAAAATTTACATGTATACTCTGGTTAATAAAAGTGCAACAGTAAAAAATGAAAATTGAAATTTTCTTGGCCAAATTTCCACTCATCACTGGATAGAGAACTTTGTTGGCAATAACCTTTAGTTTCTTTCAGAAGGCAATTTTGCTGTCTTTTCTTTCTTTTTTTGGTTCGTGGAGGGCTTGAACTCTGGGCATGGATGCTATCCCTGCGCGCTTCAGCTCAAGGCAAGTGCTCTACCATTTAAGCCACAGCACCACTTCCTGGATAGGGAACTTTAAAGTCAACTCGTGTATTCTTTGATAGAAAAATAAGCTAACAAATTTCTATCCCTGTAATTTTGGACACATCAATTTATTTGAAGATAAGCTTTTATACATGTTTCTAGTATATCTATAACTGATTTTATGTCTAAATTTTTCAAATTGTATAAACAAGTACTATAAGGTGTTCTAACCCTAATCAAGGTGAAAATAAGGAATGTTTAATGTTTATAATTGGCTAAATAATTATGATATGCACATAACTGTAACTTGTAACTATGGCCCTAAAAGTTGCATTGTAGGAAAATTTTAAGAATGGCATAAAGAACTTTAATATTCTACTAAAATGAGGTTTAAAAAAGCAGTTTAGAAACAAGATACACAAAACAATATATTTTCCAAAACAAGTATCAATGCACATAATAAAGGATTATAGAATATATACCAAAATTAAAAGGGATGCTGGGTGCAGCTCTCGTTGGTAAATCCCTGTTACTCAGAAGCAAGAGATTGAGAGCTAGAGACAGGGTGGGGTAAAATAGCATGGCATGATCCTATGTCAACAAATAGCTAAATATCCCAGCTATGCACAAAGAATAAATAGGAGGATTATGGTCCAGGTAGCCACCAGCACAAATGCAAAACCCTATCCCAAAAAGCAAGTAAGGCAGAAAAGGCTGGAGGCATGAATCAAGTAGTAAAAAATCTACCCAGAAAGAAAAAAGAAAGAAAGCTAAAAAGGGATATTCTTTGGATTTTATTTTTCCTTTTCACTTACCTGTGTTTTAATTTTTAATATTAAGTGTATATATTTTTAAGACAAAACATAACTGTAAAAAATTAGAAATGTAGGGCTATGAGGTATAGCTCAGTGGTAGAACGCCTGCCTTCTCAGCACAAGATCCTAGGTTGAAACCACAATACTATTAAAAAAAAAATTAGAAGTGTAAAAACATTTTAAAAACTTGGTAGATGTGGTTGTACACACAGAAGATGGGAGGCTGATGCGGTAAGATCGTAAGTTTATGGTCAGCCTGGAAAAATTAGTAAGATCTTTCCTTAAAAAAAAAAAAAAGGCTGGGATGGTGGCTCAGAGGTAGAGTGCTTGCCTTGCATGCATGAGGCCCTGGGTTTGATTCCTCAGCACCACATAAGCAGAAAAAGCCGGAAGTAGCACTGTGGCTCAAGAGGTAGAACACTAGCCTTGAGCTGGAGAGGTGAGAGACAGCACTCAGGCCCAGAGTTCAAGCCCCAGACTAAAAAACAACACACACACACGAAGAAAAAAAAAACTGGGGGTTTGAGGCATGGCTAAGGTGGTAGATAGAAAGCAGCAAATGAGCAAATGAGCAAAAGTACCTAGTTTAAGTCTGGATCTCAGAAATTTGAAAAACAAAACAAAAAAATCCTGTATACTAAACCTCATATACTAAAAAGACAGATAACATGTAGTAATCAAAAGCTAGTACTTTATAAAAGCCATGGATATTACAACATAGACAAGTTCAGAGCTGGTGTTTCAGGTTTGGTGAAGAGTGCATAATTAATTCTAAAATCACAGTAATAATTATTTACAGAATAGATACACAATTAAAGAGTATCTATTAGTAACAGGGTTTCCATGATAAAGTTGCTCTTCATAAGGTAGAGAGGAAAAATACAGAAACCACAATGAAGAATGGTAATCAATATATAACACAAATCAATGTAACAGCTCAAAAACCTTCTATAATGACTTCAGTAGGCCAACTTGAGTTAATTGGCTCAGATGATATGTACGGCCTTAAAGAGAAGGCAATAAAGGGGGAAAAAATCTTACATTTTACAAAATAATTCAGGATGGACCAAACTATTTTAAAATACCATTATAAAAATGATTAACAATTCATTATAGCAAACTTGTGGTTCAGCTATATCAGCTTGGTTTGGGGAGAATAACAGTACCTTGAATGCTGTTCAAAAGTGCCTTTTTTGGTGCAGGGATGGGACCCAGCAACTCATGTATGCTAAACACCTACTTTGCCACTGAGATACAATTCCTAGCCTCCTAACTCCCATTTTTGCAGTGCCAGGGATCACAGTTAGGGTCTCAGGCAATCACTCTACCACTAACCTAACATTCTCTCCCACAGAAGTGCCATCTGACAAGTTATCTGTAATTCCTTTCTGTGTGTGTATGTGTGTCTGACTTGGAAGTTGTCATCTGCCTCCTTCAGCTTCCCAAATTCTGGGATTATAGGCTTGTGGTATCTTTTCAGAAAAAATAAATGCAAACTTTGCCAGGAGTGTGTTGCTCACACCTGTAATCCTCGCTACTCAGGAGGCTGAGATCTGAGGATCACAATTCAAGACCAGACTGGGCAGGAAAGTCTACTAGATTTTTAAAGCTAATTAACTACCAAAAAAAAAAAAAAAAAGGCTCGGAAGGTGGCTCAGTGGTAGAGCGCTTGCCTTGCATGCATGAGGCCCTGGGTTCGATTCCTCAGCACCACATAAGCAGAAAAAAAAAAAGGTGGAAGTGGCTGTGGCTCAGGTGGTAGAGTGCTAGCCTTGAGCTGAAGAGCTGAGGGACAGCGCCCAGGCCCAGGCCCAGGCCCAAGTTCAGGCCCCACGACCGAAGGCCCCCCCCCAAAAAAAAAAAAAGCCAGAAAGAAAGCTGTGGCTCAAGTGGTAGAGTTCTAGCCTTAAGCAAAAATCTGAGTTCATGCCACAGAACCCACATCAAAAAAAAAAAAAAAAAAAGCAAACTACTTTTCACAGGTTTCTTAATAAGCAGCAGATAATTTTTTGAAGTGGACTAATCTAGCTAGCTAGCGTTATCAAATTTTTTTTTTTTTTTTTTGGTCAATCATGGGGCCTGAACTCTGGGCCTGAGCACTGTCCTTCAGCTCTTCAGCCCAAGGCTAATGCTCTACCATTTGAGCCACAGTGCCACTTCCAGCTTTTTCTGCTTATGTGGTGCTGAGGAATCGAACCCAGGGCCTCATGCATGCAAGGCAAACACTCTACCACTGAGCCACCTTCCCAGCCTAGCTTTATTAATTTTTTTTTTGGGGGTCCGGTCGTGGGGCCTGAACTCTGGGCCTGGGCGCTGTCCCTCAGCTCTTCAGCTCAAGGCTAGCGCTCTACCACTTGTGCCACAGTGCCACTTCCGGCTTTTTTCTTTTTGCTTATGTGGTGCTGAGGAATTGAACCCAGGGCCTCAGGCATGCAAGGCAAGCACTCTACCACTGAGCCACCTTCCCAGCCCGCTTTATCAATTTTTACAGTACTACAAAGCCAAGTACCAGTGTCTGAAATCTGTAATCATAGCTATATAGGAAGCTGAGATCTCAGGATCTCCTTTCAAAACCAGGTGGGACTCAATAAAGTCCATGAAACTTATCTTTTTGTTGGTTATAGCAAAAAGCCAGAAATGGAGGCGTGACTCAAATGATAGAGTGCCAGCTTTGAGTGAAAACGCTAATCCTCAGTATCAGAAAACACCCCACTCCCAAATGCATGGTTTATTTTTTGTGTATTTTTTTTTGGGGGGGTCCGGTAGAGGGCCTGAACTCTGGGCCTGGGCACTGTCCCTCAGCTCTTCAGCTCAAGGATAATGCTCTACCACTTGAGCCACAGTGCCACTTCCGGCTTTTTTTTTTCGGCTTATGTGGTGCTGAGGAATCGAACCCAGGGCCTCATGCATGCAAGGCAAGCGCTCTACCACTGAGCCACCTTCCCAGCCCCAAATGCATGGTTTAGAAAAGTGAATATACTATTTACATAAAACTCTTAGAACCATATCTTTCTATAAACATTAAAAAAAACAAACCTAAATTAGGCCCCGTATTACTTTTTACATTTTATTTTTATTTCTCTTTTAATCCACGATATATCCTCCAATGGAATGTTTGAAATTACAAAGGACAGTATTTTGGGCATGTATGTTTTCAAAACATGGAAGCTACATTTAATGAACTTTTAATTGAGTGAACTGTGTTGAATATTAGTTACTTAGCCAAATGATGACTAATGAAACCCTAGAACATATTAACTAATATAGTAGTATGCTAATGTTATATTCTGTTAGGTTTACAACTCTGACATGGTAATAATGCTTAAAAGCATTAAAAAAAATAGTTTATTATGGCCAGGTATTGGTGGCTCTTGCCAGTAATACTAGCTAATCAGGAGGATGAGATGTGAGGATCATCATTCAAATTCAAAGCCAGCCCAAGCAGTAAAGTCTGTGAGACTCTTATCTCCAGTTAACCACAAAAAAGCTGGAAGTGAAGCTGTGGCTCAAGTGGTACAGTGCTCAAAAAAGCTCAGGAACAGTACCTAGGCCTTAAGTTCAAGCCCCAGGACTGGCACAAAAAACAAAAACAAAATAGTTTATGAAAAAATTAATCCTATAATTCAAAAGGACCTGACTTGAAAAGTGTCTCCCTTTTCCAGCTTCTCCACTTAGAACAGAAAAATAGATAAATAAGTGGAAAAGGTAGAGGCTGAACACTTCTAAGAACTGGTCAGACAAAAACAAAAACAAAAACAAACTCATGCAAAGAGTTCTCAGCAAACTGTAAAAAAGATAAATGTGAAGAAAATCACATGTAGACACATCACCGTCAAATTACTGAAAACCAACGATAAGGATTTTTTTTTTACTGTTGAAAAACCAGAGAAAAGGCACATTAAATATAAGACAAGGGCTGGGAAGGTAGCTCAGTGGTAGAGTGCTTGCCTTGCATGCATGAGGCCCTGGGTTCGATTCCTCAGCACCACATAAGCAAAAAGAAAAAAGCCGGAAGTGGCGCCGTGGCTTAAGTGGTAGAGCACTAGCCTTGAGCTGAAGAGCTGAGGGACAGCATCCAGACCCAGAGTTCAGGCCCCACGACTGGACCCCCCCCCCCAAAAAAAAATATATATATATATGACAACAACTCTGTCTCTTATCCCAAGGGTGTAAAGATCATCCAGAATTAAAAATTTGTAAAGTGAACACTAGCACAATGGAATTAACTGCACAAAAGTAGCACACAGAGACTTAGGAGGGTAAAAATAAATCCTTGTACAAATGAATAGCTGTTCTTTGCTTTCCTATCAGAAGTGTTCAAAGGTTTAAATTGTAGTTATTGAGAAGGCAGCTCGGGGCAAGTCTATCCTATTTAAAAAAAAAAAAAATCACCCATTCAAATCCTCTCATTCAGTGAGAAGATTTGTTTACTTCCATACAAACTGCTTAAGATTTGGATGATCTCATTCGTTGGACTCAGGCTGGAAAGATGGGGCATCTGCTCTCGATTTAAAACTTCCCCTCCCGTGACAGTCCTTTTCAACCCAGGAGAAAGAAGAAGGAGAAGAAGGGGGAAAAAAGTAGGCTAGACCAGAACCTGAGAGACCAACAGGAGCGGGGGAGGTTTAGAAACTGGGGCCTCCGCAGAACGCGTCTCCAGCGGGGGCCCGGGGCACGTACCATTTTTCGGCAAACTCTGGATCACCTTCACCGCTGCCTCGAACCTGGTTTCGTGCACAGATCGTGTGTCGGCCATCGCCAGCTGCCAGCGCCGGCCCCGATCCCAAGGTCTGACGGCGGGAATCAGACAGCAGCAGCAGCAGCACCAGCTTCCCCAGGAGCCTGCATGAAACTGGAACATGGAGCGCAGCCGCGGATCAACAAGCCCCAAGGGGTGGAGGCCCCGGGGCGCAGCTGGTCAGCTCTCCTTTGCCCTGCCCTATCCCCGCCGCTCGGCCCGCGGTGACCTGGCTCCTTCCTCCTCCCCCCCCCTCGAGGGCGTGGCTAAGGCCGAGGACCCGGCCCGCGAGGATGGAAAGACTCACTGCGAGGAAGAGCATCTCTAGGAGCCCAGGGTGGTCGCCGGGCCGCTCTCCCCTCCCGAGGATGCTGGCCGAGCGGCCTCACCGCCCATCCCGCGGCGTCCGAGGGTCCGGGCCGCCCGCCCCGGCGTCACCTGAGGACCCACCCGCGCCCGCGGTCGCCACGGTGCCGCAGACCCCACCCACCCGCCCCGCCGTGACGCACGGCCGCGGAAGAGAGCCCGGGAGAGGGAGCTGGAGCAGATGGCGGTCCTTAGAGGCCCGGGACCGAGGTCCGTCCGCGAAAGGACCCGGTGGCTCAGTTTTGCTCGGGTGGAGGAAAGCGTGCAAGGCTGGGTCGAAGAGATGTCCCCCGACAAGAAGGGGCGCGCGTTTAGGGATGCGGTGGGGTTCTGCGTCTGGACCTAAAGCACCGTGCCCGGGTACCGCTGGGAAAGTAGGACAAAAACAAACGGAAAGGCCCCGGTCCCCGCGGTGTCCTGCGCCCGCCCCGAGGGAGGGCTGAGAGGTTTAGAGCTCGGGGAAGGCGATGGATTAATCCCGCGCAAAGGGTTTTAGGTCCCCGCCACTCCGTGCGAGCCTGTTCTACCACTTAAGTTGTGTAACCTGGGACAGGACCCTGAAACCTTTCCAGCAACCTCATTCTGCCGCTCTGAAGAGGAAAGGATCAAGGAGGTGCTTAGTAGGGGTTGGTCCGCACACCCGGGACGGCTTCGGCTAACCCGAGACGGGGGACGTCGGAGCTGCGAGCGACCCGAGAGGAAAGGTCGCCAGCCGCAGGACCCGGAGGGAGGACTGCAGTACTCATCCCTTCCACCGCCCGATTCTTCAAGCCCCGGGAAGCCGGGACGCAGCCGGACTCCAGCCCTGCTTAGTAGGACAGGAGGCTCTGAGACACAGGAATGAGAAATCCGTAGAGCTAGTCGGCCCCAGAAAGGGGTACCCCAGGCCTACGCCCCCCAGCCCAAACCGCGCGCCCCCAGGCTGGCGGGCGAAGCGGAAGGGGTACGAAAGGGGGGTGGGACTGGAGTCCCGCCGCCCGGAATCTCAGAGTCGCCCGGTTAGAAACGTCGTTTTTAGCAACTCAAGACAGATCAAAAGAGTGACTAATACAAATCTAGATGTGGATCGTAAGTGACTCCTGGCCTTGGAGCCGCAATGCCGGCATTTACCTTGGTACTTGCCGGGCAAGGCCCGTCCGGTAATGTCCCCGACGCCCGCCCCTCGCCCGGCCCCGCGGGCTTATGGGAAGTGTAGTCCTCGCTCCTCGGTACTTCCGCACTCTTCCTCCCTCCCCCCCCCCGTGGGCGTTCATCCCGCCTCTTCCGGTCTTGCCCGAACTCCTTTTTTTTTCGTTTTTCTTTTTTCTTTTTTTAAACTGTTGGTGTCAGTGGAAATCCGTCTCCATCCCCTTGGGTCGCGTTTTGTGATCCTTCCCAGGGCTACATCCGCTTCCAGCCGAAGGGACTCTCCGTGGCTCCTCCGAGGAGTCTTCTGGTGTATCTCCACTGGAATTGGAGCGCTAGGGACTTAATTTCTTGCCCCCAGGTGCTGATTAAGTTTGGGATCATATGTAGGAATGCAGGGTGCCCGTTAGGAAATCAGGACTGCCATTACTGAGTATGTGATGTGTGGCAAGCTTAGGATATGTTCCCAAAATGCCGAAGGGTGCCTCGAGTGAAGAAATCGAGATTGCCATAAACGGACTTGCCCAAGGTCCCACAATTTAGGAAGTAGTAAAGCCAGGAGTAAGTCAACACTACAAAGAGAGATGAACTTTTCCAATGTATTCAAACTAGGAAGGCTTTCATATACATTGCTTCCTCTTTTTAGTTTTTTGTTCTTGTATATTTCTCCATCATGCATACTTATTTTTAAAAAATCAAGTTGTGGGCTGGGCATGTGGCTCAGTGGTAGAGTGCTTGCCTAGCATGCATGAAGACCTGGGTTTGATTCCTCAGTACCAAAGAAACAGAAAAAGCCAGAAGTGGTGCTGTGGCTCAAGTGGTAGAGTGCTAGCCTTGAGTAGAAGAAGCTCCAGGGACAGTGCCCAGGCCCTAAATTCAAGCTCCAGGACTGGAAAAAACAAACAAGCCAACAACAACAAAAAAGTTAACTTGTTAAATATGTCAGCTAAAGAAAAAAAAATTTTTAACTAGCAAGTTGAATGTGTGATTTGCACCTGTAGTCCCAGCTACTCTTTCAGTATTTTTTCACTGTAATAATTCCTAAGGTGATGCTTTTTTTTTTTTTTTTTGGTCGATCGTGGGACTTGAACTCTGGGCCTGGTGCTGTTAGGTTTTTAAAAAGAGGTAGCCGAGTAAGAACAGCACCACGCACATGGTATTCAGGTAGGGGGTAGGTTTATTCATCATTCTGGCTGGCACCAGGCCATCTTGGTGGGAAAGGCCTGAGAGCTGGGAAAGAGAGAGCTGGGAAAGAGATAGCTAGAAAGAGCAGCATCTGGGCCTGGACAAGGCCTTATATAGGGTATGGGCGGAGAAAGGTATAGCCATATCAAATTCAGATGTGACCTCAGTGGATGCAGGTGTGACTTCTTCCAGGTGTGCCAGTTGCCTAGGGTGGGGTCTGCTCGCCAGCCAGGAGCAGACCTTACAGGTGCTGTCCATCTTTTCATCTCAAGGCTAACGCTCTACCACTTGAGCCACAGCACCGCTTCCAGTTTTCTGGTTTTCTGCTAAGATATAGAACCAAACAGTAGCTGGGAAGATGGCTCAGTGGTAGACTGCTTGCCTTGCATGCCTGAGGCCCTGGGTTCGATTCCTCAGCACCACATAACCAAAAAGAAAAAAAATTTCTAGAACCAAACAGATGCCCCTCAGTAGATGAATGAATCAAGAAAATGTGATACACACACACACACACACACACAATGGAATTCTATGCCTCCATCAGAAAGAACGACATCACCCCATTTGTTAAGAAATGGAAAAACTTGGAAAAAATTATGCTAAGTGAAGTAAGCCAGGCCCAAAGAAACATAGGTCCCATGGTTTCCCTTATTTGCAATAACTAGTACATGTCTAGGACAAGCAGAAAAGGTCAAAAGCTGTGTACATATGACCATATAAGATGATGTTAAGTGAAAGGAACCCCACAACAGGAACACAAGTGTTTTTTTTTTTCTTGCTTGCTATTGTTTTTAATGTACTTATAATGTACAAAAAAAAAGGGTCTCATAAGCTTTTCTGCCTGGGCTGGCTTTGAACCTTGATCCTCAGATCTCAGTCTCCTGAGTAGCTAGCATTACAGGTATGAGCCACCAGCGCCCAGCTAGGTAATGCATTCTTGATCATGTATTTCTAGAGTTTTGTTTTTGTTTTTGTTTTTTGCCTTTCATGGGGCTTGAATTCAGGGCCTGGACTCTGTCCCTGAGCCTCTCTGTGCTCAAGGCTAGTGCTCTACCACTTGGGTCACAACACAACTTCTGGCTTTTTCTGAGTCATTTATTAGAGATAGTCTCATGGACTTTCCTGCCCAGTCTGGCTTTAAACCATGACCCTCAGATCTCAACCTCCTGAGCAGCTAGGATTATAGTGTGAGCCACTAGCGCTCAGCCTCTAGAGATGTTGCAATTAAAAAATAGACCTTGGAAGCCGGGCGCTGGTGGCTCACGCCTGTAATCCTAGCTACTCAGGAGGCTGAGATCTGAGGATCGTGGTTCAAAGCCAGCCTGGGCAGGAAAGACCATGAGACTCCTATCTCCAATAAACCACCAAAAAACCGGAAGTGGCGCTGTAGCTCAAGTGGTAGAGCGCTCGCCTTGAGCTGAAGAGCTGAGGGACAGCGCCCAGGTTCAGAGTTCAAGCCCCACGACCGACAAGAAAAAAAAAAAAATAGACCTTGGTCTAAGAATGTGGCTTAGTGGTAGAGTACTTGCCTAGCATTCATGAAGCCCTGGGTTCAATTCCTCAGTACCACATACACAGAAAAAGCTGGAAGTTGGCACTGTGGCTCAAGTGATAGCGTGTTAGCCTTGAGGAAAAGAGGCTTAGGGACAGAGCCCAGGCTCTGAGTTCAATCCACACGACTGTCAATAAAAATAAATAAATAAATAAATAGACCTACTTACAGGGGAGGAAAAGTGGAAGAAAAATGAGGGAGTGGGTAAAAAGTTTGACAAGAAATGTACTTACTACCTTACTTATGTAACTGTGTCCCCTCTGTACATCACCTTGACAATAAAATTAAAATAATTAAAAAATATATATCTACTTACATATGGCCATTAAAAGATAAAATAATATATTTTTGTTGTTTTTTTTTGGATTTGAAGTCAGGGTTTTCACTTGCTAAGCTACACCCTGAACACTTTTTTGCTTTTGTTTTGTTTCGTTATTTTGCTCTGTGTGTGTATGTGAGGGGGAGGGGTGCACGTGTGTATGCACTTGCACACTACTCCTGGGGCTTCAACTAAGAGCGTGGGTAATATCCCTGAGCTTTTGTGCTCAAGGCTAGCGCTTTACCACTATAGCCACAGCTCCACATCCTTTTCTTTTTTATGCTCCATTGGAAATAAGAGTCTCACAGATTTTCCTGTCTGGGCTGGCTTCACACTGTGATCCTCAGATCTTAGCCTACTGAGTACCTAGGATTACAGGCATGAGCCCCCCATACCCAGGAGTGGATGTGTGGCTCAAGTGATAGAGCACTAGCTCTGAAGAAAAAGCCATCTGAGAGTGCAGGGACCTGAGTTAAAGCCTTGGTATCAGCACACAAAAAAAATATTTAATTTTGGGTTGAGCATTGTGGTGCAGGCCTTTAATTCTTGCATGTAGGAGACGGAGACAAGAGAATGAACAATTCAAATCTCCAATAAATGACTGAAAAGCCAGACGTAGAGGCAGGGCTCAAGTGGTAAAACTCCAGCCTTGACTGAAAAAAAGAAAAGAAAAGAAAAAAGAAAAGCACAAGCCCTGAGTTCAAGTCCCAGTACTGGGACGCGCGTGTGCGCACGTGTGCTCAGACACAAACACACAAAGGGGGTGGGGGGGGGTTATAGCAAAAGAGTTTAAGACTAGTTTGGGCTACATAGTGAAATTCATCCTATCAAAGACAGAAAGGGAGGGAGGGAAGGAGAAAGGAAGGAAGGAGGGAGGGAGAGAGGAAGGAAGGAGGGAGGGAAGGAAGGAAAGAAGGAAAGAAGGAAGGAAAGAAGGAAGGAAACAGGTGATCTTGTAATTCTTGCTGCTTGGGAGGCAGCGATGGGGGGGAGAGGGGGAGGGTGGTGACAACTCAGTTTGAGGCCAAACCCAGCAAAAAAGAAGTTTGTGAGACCTCATCTCTATCAATGATTGGGCCCAGAAGTAGGTGCTTGTCACCTGCAGGGACACAGAGAAGCCCAAGGAGGAAAATCAGAGCCTAGGCCAGCCCAGGCATAAGTTGAGACCCTCCCAGGAAAACACCCACTGTAAAAAGGTATTGGAGGTGTGGCTGAGTGAATGAGTGCCTGCCTAGCAAATGCCAAGACACTAAGTTCAATGCTCAGTACTGAAAAAAATTGTAATTCAAGTCATATTGTTGTGGATAATTCAAGTCTTTGTACTTATTTCAGGGAAGCCAAATCCAGTGAACTATTTTCAGCCAAGATTAGTCAGAACTAAAAGGCTGCACTGTTTCTCCTCAGAGACTAAAGACTTTCCTTCCTGCAGTAAACCAGTGTGTTTAATAGCAAAGTAAATGGAATAACCACCACCACCACCCCCAAAAAAGCACCAAAATCCTAGTTCTCAGCCTGGTGTCTATTCAGAAAGCCAAGGTCTAAAGACTGTGGTTCAAACCGAGCCCAGATATACAAGTCACCCTGGACCAGAAAAGTCCATGAGGCTCTTACCTCCTTTATACTAGAAAATGCTCAAACCAGTATTCTGTGTGCGTGCATGCATGTGTGTGTGTGTGTGTGTGTGTATGTGTGTGTGTGTGTGTGTGTGCCTGCACGCGCGCATTGATCCTGAGGCTTGAACTGTGTCCATGAGCTTTTCTGTTCAAAGCTTGTATTCAACCTGTTAAGCCACAATTCCACTTCTGGATTTTTGCTGATTGATTGGAGATAAGAGTCTCACAGACTTTTCTAGCTGGGCTGTCTTTGAACCACGTCTTCAGATTTCATCCTCTTGAGTTGCTAAGATTACAGGTATGAGTCATCGACTCTTGACTTTCCTATATATTTCTGTATCTTTTGTATTTGAAGTATAGGGATGTATTACATATTTAATGAGATAAACAAAACCTGGAT